CAGGGGGAAGGGCCTCAAAAGCGTCATGCTATTTCGTAAGATTCCCCAGGAAAACTCTATGAGCATCAAAGATCCATGGCCTTGCAAAATCAATATGAAACCCCCTCCCCACCTTTTTCTAAACAAGCGTTTGAAGCCAAATACTGAAAATGTATGAGGAGCACCCCCCACCTCTTTAGGTAATCTCTTAATTTTACCAAAAAAGTTAATACAATAATGCCCGTTTCAGAGGAAAAATTCCCTGCCCCCCCCTCTCCATACATTTTAAAGGGTGGGAGAACATACGTATATATATATATATCCATAGATCCAGTATGGTATATATTGGTAACATGATCCCATCATATACCCCAGTCATGTTGGCATATATACCATCACCATTGATCCTATGGGATATATATATATATATATTGGTAAATTGGACAGTTTCCTTTACATCCCCCCGCCCTTAAATGGCTCCGGCCTCATGGCTCGAAACGCCATCGGAGATCTGCCGGACATCCGTGGACGACCCGGAGGTTGGTATCCCAAGCTTGCCAGTGGGGGTTAAAGGGACTCGTAAAAAAGGAAAAACGCGTAAAGAGTAATAGTGCAGTTGATCATATAAAATTCAGATGTAAACATGATTGTTTATGTATGTATATTCTGGAATTCGAGAGTTTACTTAATGATTATACTGTTTATTCAATAGAAAAATAGACCCATAAGCTCTATGTATGGTAGATTTGCCTATAATTGCCTAAATTTACCTACAGTTGAGACATGTTGGGGGTAAATGTTGGTGCATTCCATACATGGAGCATATGGGAGAGTTTCACCCAATGAAATAAGATATATAAATATCATGCTAGAATTTGATAGAATGATATAAATGGACAGTTAAATTCACCCCAATAAATAGACTTAAGGTTAGACACCTAGAACATATGGAGGAAACATCAACGTTTTCCATCCTGGTGGCACATTAAACTCGGCATCTTCGCGGGGCCCAGGTTGCAGGATGGGGCCCTCCAGTTCTGTCTGTTGGTTTGTGGGGCCCCATCGAAATATCGTTATTTGCGTATCATACACTGTGGTGATTGTAGTTATAAACGCACCAACTTAGCTAACGAACTGGGTCCCCATCCTGTAGTAAATAATGTCATTCTCTTGCATTTGCTTAAAACAAACAACAGCAGATTCCTTCAATGGTGGATTTACCAATCCCATGAGAAAACAGGCGCAAATCATCAAACCTTTATCAATTTATGTGGGAAGTATCCAAAACTCAATCTTTAGGATTTTTGGAGAGGGTAACCTGGGTAAACTAGTTTCACGATTCAGTAGTCTCACATATCCATTGTGTGTTTTTTTTGGGAGAGCCACCCCAAGAGCCATGTGACGATGACACCACACGCTGCGAAGCACGCAAGGCCCACAAGGACAGACGATTCTAGAGCCTTTTGTATCCTGCTTTCCGTGCCTCCAATCTTTGTGCGGCAGCAAAGATCTTCTCAATTTGAATCAATTCTGGCCTTTGGTAGACCCCCAATGGATCCAGTTGCATTCAACGGATCGTCTGCTACGAGGAGTTTTAATTACCTACACTCTGGCATGTCTGAAAATGAAGAATAAACCAATAATATGTTGGGCAACTGTTCATCTGCATTTTCACATACCAAACCCATTTGCCATTCTTCATTGGTTAACCCACTATGGTTTGTGGTTGAATCACCATGTTTCACATTGTTTGTTCCTTAAGTCACTTAAGTCCGCAATCCAACAAATCCCTAAATTCAATGCTTAAACCCCAATTTTGGGTGGATGATATCAATATCATGTCCCTATTTGCAGGATGATAGCCCCGTTGCTGCTACTTAAGCACAGAGTTTCTTCCACACAGAGCATCTGGAAGTCCCAAAAGGACATCGATGTGGCTCAGAAGAAGTACAACAGGATCAGCAGCCTCAGCCAAAAAGTGGGGTCACTAGACGATACTTCAAGTTGGTGAACTTCAAATTGGTGACCATAACTTTAATAAGTATGGTTTATGATACTTATCATTGTAGTATTCATAGGCTTCATCAGATTTTATAAGCCAACAAACATCACTTGGTGGTCCCTCATTGTATCCTCTATACCTATATGTATACATATAATTACATATATACATATCCATAATGTGCTGTCTCAGTCTCAACTAAATGATTTTGTTTGCTCTGGTGCTGTTGAGCTCAGTGCCCAGGTCAAATGCTGTCCTAATCTGATGATATGTTCATCTGAAATGAGTCCGAAATACTATGTATATATATATATAAATGTATAATATAATATATATATATACACATATGTATCACAATGTACACTATACATATATATATATATACATAAATCTTGCAAGAGGGACCAGTCAGGTTCCCACCTCAAAAACTGCATCGACGCCTCCGCCGAGTCACAGGATGCATCCCCAAACGAAGGCCGGCAGAGGGTCAAAGACGGCAGTGGAAGCAGGAGCATCCTCCTTCTTCCCATGACCTCAGAACCGACAAATCACCTACCAATGTGGGCCCCAAAAAAAACGTGGCTAAGTTGGTTTATAAAGATTTATACAGGCCGCGCAAACTATACAGTTATTTTTTAGTATCCATCGTCAGACTGGAGTTATGTTCACCAATTTAGCTATCTAGAGGGCCACACTTTGCATATATCAATGGGAATTTCAGGACCCTAAAAGGAGGCTACTGTACCATATAAAGCCAGATTTTGGGGGCATAGCCCCTTACATAGCCCCCTTACATAGCCCTGAAAAATAGGCCTTATGTACCGTAGGTAACTCCCATAAATCGGTGAAATGGCGATTAAATGGAAGGAACAAATTACCGTCACCATAGTTGTATTGGAATCACATTCTGACAGGATGTGGATGGATCCAGAGGTGATATGCCCAATCAAATCCAATGGGCTTGGATGGTAGATGCCTCCACCACCCCTCTCACCGAGGGTCAGTCTTGTAGAAAGGCGGCCAAATGAACATTGGCTTGTGAATGACAACCCATTGACTATTAGGGTGATTTGTAGGAGTCTTCAAATGCAAAAAAACAATAGAATACCACATCTATTAACTACATCTATTAAAGTTGTATCTGTCACACAACTTTTTCATAGAAATTGAAAAAAACACGATAGACAATACTGGCTGGTGGTCGACCTACCCCTCTGAAAAATATGACAACTCGTCAGTTGGGATGTTGATGCCCAATATGGAAAGTCATAAAGATTGCTCCAAACCACCAACCAGGATATCATTGGGATATAATTGGGAGGACCAAGGGGATACCAGCACTAAACAAGCCATTGATGGTGATAACTATTATCAATCCATTACTTGTAATTAATCATCACTGTTCCAATTAAAGTGCTGTGTTTGTATTTCTATGTTTCAATTGGACCCCCACATGGATGTGCATGGCAATTGGCAACTGGGAGTTAATTTTTGCAGCTCTAAATTGGGGATATACCGCATTTAGATGCACCATGTGTACCGACATATAAAAACATGCATATCCACATATATATATATAATCCTTATATACATAAAATGTTCATATATATATATATGTATATGTATATGTATGTATAACTATATATATATATGATTATAAATAATAGATCATATGTACCAATGAGTATGTATATATATATACACATACATATATATATAATTATGTATATAGATGTATGATTGGGTATATATATATATATTTGTATACCAATGCTACCAATACGGAAATCAATATACCACCCATGTTCCTGGCTCCCGCACTGATGCCACAGGCTTGACGGAAGTACCTCCAGACTGCACCTGTCGGGCTGTATATGATAGATACATTTACTGTATATATATATATATACACTGTATGACTACATGTATATATATATATACATACATTATTACTGTATCATCATATACAATTATATATAAACACGTGTATGTATATATAAATATATGTTGTGCAGTAATGCGCCCATAGTATTATGTAGATACATGTTTCTGGCTGCTTGGTATCTAGCTGCAGGGATAGGCATGCTTTGTATCTTGGGCAAACTCTGTGACTCCAGTCAGTGTGGACTAGTGGACTACTAGGGGTGTTCCGTGGAAGTCTTGGAAATCGTGGTGTGGAACATATGTGGACCCAAAGGGTCAAAGTTTTCAGCATCTGGGGGACCACAGGGTCACATTTCATGATTGACCATCCATTAGTGGGGGTACCCAATTTTGACCCAGACCCAGACGATGCCAGTCGGGTTGGTGACGAAAGAACATCGGATTGGATCAATTGATGTGATTCTGAGATGCCATGCAGACGACACAAATGGGATTGAACAAACTACAACGGAACCGTTTTCACAAAAGTCATTTTTCCATTTTCATTGAGTCGCTTCACTTCAGTTCAGATAGTTCAGTTGGTTGGAAACCACAGAGTTCTTCCGATCCATATATGCGGCCATGGTAAGCATTCATACAGCATTGCCAAAGACTAGGCTACCCCACACAAATCAATGGTGCATCACCCAGTTGGGGGTATACCTTTGGTAAAAAATAACCATTTTCAGTCGGCTTTGACCCTCAACTGACCCCCCAAAAAAATTGATATCCACCCCACGATTTTCGTTTTAAGTAGCATTTTGTCTGCGTGAATTGACGGTCAAGTTATACCCCAGGGTCGACTAACGATGTGGAAAATCAACCATTTGTAGACTTTTTGCCTGGGGTTTCCTCATGAATTTTCCACATCGAACGTTTACCCGAGGGGAACTTATCAAGTTGGTGAAGTACATCCCATTCACATCTCCATAATGTGTGTCTCCATTGTGGTTGGTAATCATCATGAATCATCATGAATCATCATGAATCATCATGAATCATCATGAATCATCAAGAATCATCATGAATCATCTATCTATCTATCTATCTAATCTAATCTAATCTAATCTAATCTATCTAATCTATCTAATCTATCTAATCTATCTAATCTATCTAATCTATCTAATCTATCTAATCTATCTAATCTATCTAATCTATCTAATCTATCGAATCTATCTAATCTATCTAATCTATCTAATCTATCTAATCTATCTAATCTATCTAATCTATCTAATCTATCTAATCTATCTAATCTATCTAATCTATCTAGCTAGCTAGCTAGCTAGCTACCTATCTATCTATCTATCTATCTATCTATCTATCTATCTATCTATCTATCTATCTATCTATCTATCTATCTATCTATCTATCTATCTATCTATCTATGCATTTCTTTCTGAAATAAGGGGGTATTCCAAATCATCCAAGTCATAAACATTAGCATCAAAAATGACAATTTAGACATTCACCGAGTTATTGCCAGCAACTTAGCTACTGAAAACCTCCACCTTGATTTTCCCTTCATGTTCCCCAAAAATGGTACAATGTGGGCCCCACCCAGTTATAAGTTGGTTTATAAGCCCCAGTAACCATAGTTATAGGTACCATAAACGATAGTTATTGGAGTTATGTTCGCCAATTAAGCTATCGTTTGGGGGCCTCACATTGTATACACCCATGGTGACTTGGGGTACCCCGGTACCCCCCCTGACGGCCACCTGAACGGATGGGCTCGCAGCGGAAGCCCACGTGATGATCCGGGCGCACCACAAAGAGACATTGCCCATGCACGCCGAAACGCTCATGTGCCTGGCCCAGGGAACTGCCGGAAGGGTGGAAAACCCATGGGGAAAACCCATGGGATGACAATAACACACAATAACAATGGTTTTTTTTTGGGGAAAACCATGGAAAAACCATTGAACATTGTAGGGAAAACCGGAAAACCCATGGAAAACCACCAAAGTCCCTGGTTTTAAACTTCAGTTGAGCTATGATTTCATGCCAATTTCGAGGCATCAGGTCTTTTGTGGGGAAAAAAACACGTTGTTGGAGGTGAGATTTTTGTCTCAATCATTTTCTTTGTTGGACAGGTTCCAATGTTACAATGTTTGGAAGGGAATTCCTATGTGCCAAAAACTTCCCATTCTGGTTGGCAAGATGTCGTGGGACAGATTCCCAATGTTTTGGAACAAACTGTTTGTGATAGAAATGTTGAAGGTCTCTACCAAGAAACAGCTAACCAAATGGAAACAAATACCCATATGCTCCATGTATGGTCTAGTTCATTTGCACCATGGTTGGGTCAATGTTACTGGATAGTGCAAACATGTGCATGAAACATATGGGATACCTTATGAACGTTTACACTTTGCTCTTGAGTTTACCACACGCATGAAATCTCCACCGCCGCAGCTCACTTTTCGCGGCGTCGCGATTTTGGCGTTACCAAACCCGGCATCACAACTCCGTCTTGAAGTTTCCGCGCGATTCACTTGGAAGACCTCGGTTGCTGTCCAAATGCTGTCCGTTGCTGTCCCAGCCGACGTGTATGGCTGAAGTTTAAGGCTGACAAGGCCGAAAAATGGCATTGAGGAAAGGGGTCAACAAAAAAAAAATATGCCCAACTCACATCACCTTTTCGGGTGGGCATCCACTTTTTCCGAGTCATGCAAAGTATCAAGTCCGAGTCATGCAAAGTATCTCGTCACTGGCCAAATCTGCAGCTTTCGGTGAAATCAACGTGTTCACCGATCTCACTGGTTTCCCAATTTCTGTGAGATAAATCATGGTTTTGTTGAACATTGATGAGCATTGCACATTTTGATTGATTTCATCACAATGTTATAAATGTTATAACCGCAGCAATGCAAAGTCTAAAGAGTCTAGCTGACCAAATCACATTGTTTAACACCATCTGTGCTGCTTAAATCCCAATTTGCGTTGAAGGGCCCCCCCTACAGGTAGTTACGTTTTTTGGTTTATAAACCCTATTTTCCACACACATATTTACCACAAGTCCTAATTCTTGCCTATCATTTTGCCAGCCCCTTCCTGTTTCAAAACTACACAAAAACAACAACAAATTGCATGTTCTCACAATGTTTGTCTGATAAAAAACAATATTCCTTCATACAACCTATTATTAATTAACCCATATAAACCCATATTAACTCAACATGTTTAACCATGTTTAACCCAGTCACAGTGTGTCACCACCTGCACCGGCGCATCAAGCGCAGCTTGCGCAGGTGCAGTCCGTAGATCCGTCGGCACAGCGCTGATGCCGCTGGCATCAGTCCAGTCATGATCCGTGTCAGTGGGCCTGGGCAGCGGATGGAAAGATGGCTGAGGCTCTGATTTCTACCCTCTGATAAACTAACAGTTTGCTATCGAAAACCATCATCTTTATCGAAGGAAGTTTAGAAGTCAAACGTCCGACAATATGGAGAGATGGAAAAGCAGAGGTGGGAAGAGTCAGAGAAGAGAAGAGAAGAGAAGAGAAAAGAAGAAAGAATATCAGAGAAGAGAAAGATTCAGAGGAAAGAAGATGCAGAGCGAAAAGGCAGAAAAGTCGCGACACACCCTGTGTTTCTCCTATGATTTGTGTCTCCGGAGGGTCGAAAAGTAGGCTTGCTAAAGCAGCAGCTGCGGAGCCATCTGGCCAAATGAGAGATGAAAAATTGCACGCCGTTGTGGCGCGAAGCATATTTGGAAGTCAAAAGTGTAAAAAACTGACGACCTCATACGAATGCGATTTGCGTTTTTTCGACTTCATCTGCCTAAAGTACTGCGCCTGCCACGAAAAAGTGAAGCCAGGTCATACTTACTTCCCCGGGCAGCACCTCCGTCCTGGCTGTATAGTTACTAGGGTTTATAAACCAACTATCACTTACAACTTGAGGTACCCCACTAAGCTGGTTTGGAAGCCAATTTTTTTCTATTAACATAGTCATTATACATGTTATTGCAAGATACAAGTACCACAAACACCACAAACCACAGTGAAATTGGAGCTGTTCACCAACTGCGATTTCGTAGGCGCCATACTGGCTCGGCCCGTCCGCCGGCCGCCAAGTGTCGATGCAGCGGAACTGCCGGTTTCCGCTGGCAGTGAAAAAACACGCACTTCCGCCTCGGCGTCTTCGGGCCTCAATGCGACGTTGATGTTTTTGTTGTTTATAAAATTCCCTATGGATCCAGCCGTACCTTCTGAAAGGAAGTGGGACTGGGGTATAATTTACTATAATTTGGAGGGTTAAGTACTTTCTCAAACAGTGTTTGGATCCATAGATATGTATATATGCACCAGGCCCTGCCAACCCCCCCTCCCACCCCCCATGGGTCCCATATACTGCCCCCATAATATGAGATCTTCCCCTCCCCCCCTGTGGTGTGGTGGGGATGTGGTATGGTATGTTGGGTATGTATGATGTGTATGGTCGGTCTGGTATGGCATGTTTGGAAAGTATGGTATGTTTGGTATGTATGGTAGGTATGGTATGTATGGCATGAATGTTTGGTATTGTATGGATGGTAGGTATGGTAGGTATGGTATGTTTGATATGACAGTATGTATAGTCTGTATGGTATGCATGGTTGCTATGATGGGTATGGAACGTTTCCTATGTAAGGTAGGTATGGTATGTATGGCATGTATGTTTGGTATTGTATGTATGGTAGGCGGTGTAATTATGGTTCATATGTATGGTATGTATGGTATGAAAAGTATGTATGATAGGTATGATAGGTATGGTATGCAAGGTTACTATGGTGGGTATGGACTGTTTCCTATGTAAGGTAGGTATGGTATGTATGGCATGTATGTTTGGTATTGTATGTATGGTAGGCGTGGTAATTATGTTTCATATGTATAATATGTGTGGTATGTATGATAGGTATGATAGGTATGGTATGCATGGCATCATTGGAATGTATGGTAAGTACGGTATATGTTATGTGATGTTAAACACATGTAGTGTTGTCAGAGTACACAGGTAGTAAATAGGAAGTAGATACATAGCACATGTCTATATATATATATATATAAATATATGTCTATAGGTAGCACGTAGGTACTTTGAGGGAGTATGTGTGCTACGTAGGTCGCCGAAAAGGTAGCATGTACCTAGTAAATGCGAGGCTGGTAGTCAGAAATGCTGCAAAGACCTAGCAAATACGAAGCAAATAGAATGGAAGGGGGGGCGCTACCTGGGGACCCAACCCATTGGAGGGGGTGGGTGGAGAGACGGAGGACGGGACCATATATAAACCTCACTGCGACCGAACCCTGGAATCATGGTTTATTTTAGGGAAATCATCCCCAAATGGCCCAACAATTCAGGTTAGTGAAATATTATAAGTTACCAATATATATATATAGTACAACGAACATCAACAACATACTAATACAATAATATGTTAACGTAAAATACTGTAAAATTATGACATGACAAATCACAATATACTTGGATTTCAAATAGTGTTAACATATTGTCTATAGATGACTATAGTATCAATATCATCATGAATATGTTAATCAGACTTGTTATTGTAAATTAAACAGAATGTTCAATTGTTCAATTATACCGTCCTTTGATATACAAAACTGTATTATAGATCAGTAATATCGTTTCTGTTAGTTTTTCCATTAAAGTACAATCAGGTGTGACGATTACTACTATTTTGTTAATTACTTCATATGTATACACACATATATATATATTATAATATATATTATATTATATAATATTATATTATATTATATTAAATTAAATTAAATTATATTATATTATAATATATATATAATTATAAATATATATATATATATGATATTAATATATATATATATATATATATAATACTACAATATAGTTAAAACATGTACTATAATTAATATACTAATACGAAACAAATGACCTCAAATTACCATTATGACGTTCACTACGGAGCCGAACATCTTCGCCGCGGTACGGCCCATGGCACGCTTTGAGTCTGCTGATGGGCTCCACCATGGCCTCCTGACGATATCGAACTGGACAGGACGGGGCCCCCGTTGATTGTTGCGTTCAGTTGCCTTGTAAACGGAGCTGAAAAAACTATGGTTTATGGTAGATATAACGAGTGAGTTACTAGATGTTAATAACATCAGATGTTAATAGTATTCATGGGGATTATTTCATGGTTTATCAACTTATAAATGCATCAGACATATCAGAATAATGATGTTGTTCTTTTTAAGGTCTCCATGGAAATAGTGGATTTTCCCATGATTTTCCCATATTTCTGATGTTTGTTCCATACTGTTAAATCCTGATTAGTAGCTAGGCTCACTCTTGTGGCTAAACAATTCCAAATTATTCTGAACCCATGAAATGTTTGGAAGTTTCACTATTGTGGCAATAATATTTGGCAGACCAATGTTGTTGTCAAAACAACTGTTTGCGTGAAAACATCTTAACGATTTTTTCGGAATAAATCTTGCTTGTCTGCCTTTCCCAAAAGAATCATATCGCTTATTAAACCTTTATTAAAGAACAGCTTTTCCACAAATTTCCAAGGCACTGGACCATGAGAGGGTCCAGTTCACTTTAGTAGGTTTGTTGCCTAGGTTCGGAATTGCAGCAAACTTTTCCGGAGGTGATCCTGGAGCCAAGAGAAAAAAAGGCCTTTTGCAAAAGCAACCCGTTCTTTCTCTTTCTTTTTTTCCTCTCTCTCTCTCTATCTTTCTCTTTCTCTTTTTACACCTTTAATAAACATATTGATGTGGAAAAGGTAACGCAATCAACATGCTGTGAACCCCATTCACTACAAGTATTACAAGTACTACAAGAACTACAAATATCACAAGTTCATCGGCATCAAAAACAGTTTTCATGCGATGTCAATTGTCGCCAATTACAATCCTCACTTAAATGTAGGATCATATGTTGTTGTTTTTTTCTGGGGAACAGTTTTTAAAAACTCAACTTAAAACAGGGTATAGCATTCGTTTGAGGGGGTACAGTCAAATCAGGACGGAACATTATAGGAAACGCTGTTTTTTTCCCAGTGACTTTCATAGCTTGGGAAACTCGATTCGTAGCTCCAAGTGGCTCCCCACCGATAGCTGCGAAGCGCTGCCTCCTAACCACTAGATAGGTGAAATGTTCCCGGGGTTCCTGCAACTTTAACTTGAACCAATTCAATTGGAATGTTGAGCACAAAGTTCAATGACCATAATTACATTATGTTTTACTATAATTACTAATTATAAATGATTAGATTTCGAAAAATGTCCCTTAGTTAGTTACAACATGTTACAACATGTTGCAACTAAGCAAATATTCAAAACCCTCTGCCTTTCCATTTACTCCGGGCTGAAAACGGGATTCCCATACTTCATGGATGATGATAGTCCCCAATATGTCAGGGTACAAAAACTTATAGCTGCTATAGCCCCCTCAACCAATCACACAACCATCATGTATCAATTATATCCATGTAAATCCCAATATTGTTCATGGTTGAAACGTTACAATATCATAATGAAACCAACTGGCCATGAATTCACCAACCAACAGGGGTGTCGATCGCAGCTGCTGCCGCGTCCTCCTTGTTGCGTGGCTGGATGCAGCTGTGCGTGCACATGGGCGGAAACCATTCCAAGTCGTATCTGCCGGGATTGGGGGAAGGGGGATGGACTTTTGTTTAACCCCCACAAAATGGGGATTTATGGGATAATTATGGATAATTGGGATCTAAACTCAACCATAACTATAGGATATAACGGGACATATTGATTACTGTCTGGAAATCAAACGTGGTAATGAGAAATCCCCGAGATACAGAGGTTATGGTCCGAAAAATCATCGAACGTGATTTGGTGATATGCAGCATGTTGATTACCGGAGGCTAAGCACCGCTACGTGATGTGGCAAAGATCGTGTTTTTCCCCAAAGAATTTCGATACATGGGGATTGATTGAAACATCCAAATATGGGGATATCAACGTTTGTTGTCAGCGATTACACAAATTCTGACCGTCAGCTATCATTGTTATAGCCATCAACCCCCAACTATGCCTTGAACGATCATCCCACCTAGTAACTGGAAAATCACCTGGCTGATAAGTCCAGTAGGCTAGAACCCTTACAAACAAATTCATCAGCTGCTACTATATAGTTGATATATACTCAGTATCTATCATGTGCTTCCGAAACTCAACTGGTAGCTCCATTTGGCTCCCGCAAGACAAGGGCTCCTAACCGCTTAAGGACTCCCAAAAAGTAACAACTATTCCCTACAGATTCCCCAAGGAGATCAGGAAATTCCGGAAGGTGATAGCCTGGTGGTTGACCTACCCCTCTGAAAAATATGAGTCAATGGGAAGGATGACATCCATGATTACCCCATATGGAAAATAAAATTCATGTTCCAAACCACCAACCAGTGTCTATTTCCATAGAATTCTTGGGTCATTTCTCCTATCAATGGAAAGGATTATCCCATATATTATGGAAAATAAGATTCATGTTTGAAACCACCAACCAGTAGCGGTTTTGGTGGATCACAAATCCTCCCAGTGACACGAAGTTCTGTGATCCTCGGTGTTCATCGACCATTTCCTATACGCATCTGCACGTGTCCTTGCTTGGCACACACGAACTACTTATGAAGTTCATGGGGCGTTCACCAGCCCTCCAAGGATAGATGCTTATAGATGGCATGATGGTTCATGCCTAGCTGGTTGGTGGTTGACCTACCCCTCTGAAAAATATTAATAAGTTGGGATGATTATTCATATACTATAGAAAAATAAAAAATGTTTCAAACCACCAACCAGCTAGTGGTTGTTGGTGAATATCTGAATTCAGCGATTTTAGTAACCCCTGGATTTACCCCCATGAAAAATTCCCATCATTTTTTCCCCATGAGATTCCCATAGATTGTCCAAAATTGCTGATGTTCAGCCACATAATATGTTAGCAGTAAAATAACAGTACTTAAAATTACAGTTGATTTACCCTCTGGTTATTTAACATAGCCATGGAAAATGGCCCATTTATAGATGGTTTACCTATTAAAGATGGTGATTTTCCATGGCTATGTTAGTCATAACCAGATGGTACATTGATAAAAACCATAACGGTAACATCCCCAAGATTCTCCAAAGGAGGATCCTAAACATATCAATGTGAGTGGTGAGCAGTGTGAAAAAATCATCCCTGGTTAAGAGCGGGATTCCCCGTTCTTGGATTATTGTAATCCGCAACAAAAATTGGGTAGTATAGTCCCCGAACTAAAAAAATCAACCAAGCATCATTTATCGATATGTCCCAATATGTCCCAAGTATATCAACGAACTAATCCGATATGTTCAATGGTTAAATCCCATAAAAATGCCATTTAAATCATCAACCAACAGGGGTTTTGAAAAGTCCTGGGGATTCCCAGTCCTCACTGGCTGGCTGGACACTGACTTGGGGGATCCGAAAAACCCGTGAGTGCGTTGTGTCCTAAGTGGCTTCTTGGCAAATATTAAATATAAGATAATATAAGTGACTTATCCTCGTCATGATATATATATATACATATGTAGATCATATCTCTAATATATATATATATATATATACATATAATATCTATAATATATGCATTTTTGGTCGACCAGGGTTGGGGATACAACTATACTATCTATTTAAATATCTATACTTAGTGAGGATTATAAACTAAATAAAACTGAATTAAACTAACAATAGCATTGTCCCCATGAGATCCCCATGATTGTGCCGCCTCTGCTTGCTAGACTGGAGATCAGCATCACCAGCAGGGAAAACCCAGCTGGGAAGTGAAAGCCTGGATCAAATTCACCAGGCCCTTCTCGAAAAGCCCAGAATTGGGATTTAACCATCAAAAATATGGATTTAACATGATTTAACCATCCCAAATTAGGATTCGACTCATGAAATGAGTATGATTTAACCATGAAAATTAACCACCTAAAGTTTGGATTTAACCGTCAACAATTGGGATTGGACCATCAACAATTCTTGTCCAACAAAGCCATGGAAGTTCATGGAAGCACATTCCGTTTGAGGGCTCCTACAGAAATGCTGGACACTCGGATACCCCACGTTATGGCAAGTTGAATGGGAAGATGATGAGTTATGGCACTTCGGGGTACCCTAACTATTTTATACTATTTTCAGACAAACCCATTTAACCAGTCAAACTGATGATTTCATAAGAAGGAGGATATAAGGATGAATAATAGATATGTAGCCAATGAATACTCCTTGCTGGCTGTATGCAACATGCAGTCGGCCAAATACAGAGTTTTTGTTGGTGCTTTAGTCAACTAAAAAATGGTGCTTGATGAATCAACAAAGGAGATTTATGCAACTAACCAGCCGGCAAACCAGGTGCTTTGAGAAGGAAGTGGAGTAAGTGTCACGGGTGCAGTCAGCAACAATCTAATGGAATTCATCCAACAAGGCAAACATCGGCTTGTCCAGAAATCGCAATAATGTCGACCCATGACCCAGGGTTACAAAAATACCAGTTAATTAATTGGGACGGTACCAATTTTACAGTAATAGTAATAATAGTACTTGATCACAGTTTTGGGGGTACCTCTGCAAATTGATCCAGGGCTGACATTGCCCGTACAATAACCAGTATAGGAGACATCTAATCTAATATGATGAAGCGCCAAATTTGGGGGTACCCTCTGGTAAACTAACATAACTGTGGAAAATCACGATTTTCTAGCTGGGTAAATCCACTATTTCGACTGGGCCATGGCTTCAAGTTCGCAAACTGTTAGTCATTACCAGAGGGTACCATATCGACTGTCGTGGGGATCTCGCCATCAATAGGCGTTCTGATTAGCCCTCATGCTGCTTCCAAGCTGCCAGACAAATACTAGTCTATGAACATGGAAAATCAAGTAGCAAACCACGAAATGCATTCACCCACAGATACACAGGCTGTTTGTCAATATCCAGTAATTCCTTGTAACTCCAAAAATGATGACAACAGGCGACAAATCATGATACATAGATGACATATTTGTCCAAGACAATATCCAGAATTTCCTGTTATATCCAAGACAAATGCTGGATTTCCGCCAGGAACAAGTCGGCATTAGTAGCGCCGTGGATCCAAGATATTCAAGCGGAAACCCGTTGCTTCAGATGGGTCCACCCCAAACCTTTGGGTCAGATGTCATACGACAAAAAATGTCAATGTGGCAATGTGGCATTTTCATCTCACCATCACTAGATACGTTATTTGAATAGGTCAACATATATATATATATATATTCGATATGGTGGCATGACCATGCCCCACTGTGGGTATCTAGTCCAACTTTTGCCCATGGCACATATCGCCTAAAGGCCTATAATGTGTATTATACATATATATGTGTGTATATATATATATCATATATATATATCATATATATATATTATTTATAAATACTATATATTATTTATAAATACTATATATATATATATTATACATATCATGTATATATATATACATGATATGTATAACAATATAATATATATATCTATATGACAAGTATGTAAATATCTTCCATCTCCCCGAACTGGCCGGATGCCCGTCCCCCATCCACTGGGGGACTCTTCGAAGCTGTAGTCGGGCAAAGAGAAGAAATGCGTCATGGGCAGAATGAAGGTCGCAGCGTCCTGCGAACGACTGGGATCGACATCGATTTTTGGCTGCCCGGGCTGCTGGGTAGTTTCTGGCAAAACATGAACATCAATGTTATATACAATAGTTATGGAACAATGGAACCATAATTGTTATATTGTGAAATGGTAACGACCAAGGAAAACCCTGGGCACACTCGGGCAATCCTTTTTGTCACGGCTGCGGCCATGTGTGAAATGACCAAACGGCTGAACAACCAATCCAAGCAGGCCCCCTTGGATGCATCTGCTGGTCAGTTGCAGCCATTTCAATGTAGCGCCAAGCGATGTTCGCCTTGCGCAAACTCCAAATTCATGAGTTTCGCCAGCTCTTCTATTCTTTGTCCTTCTAAGTACTTTGTTCCAAGATCTGCAGTGTTCACCTTTGTTCCAGTCTTTTCCAATTTGATTTCTCCATCTTGCACCCGTTGTTGTAACCAAAGATAGCACCGGCTGATGTGCTTTGCTTTTCCATGCCCACGTCTGCTAAGCATGGATTTTGCAGCGGAGGCGTCAAACACTAAGACACCCTCAAACTCACAGCCCAAGTCTTGCATCGTTGCCAATGCACCAAGCAACGTCGAACCTGCTTTGATGCCTCCATAAACCTCTGATTCCCCTGAAGACAGTGCGATCACATGCTGTGTTGAACTGTAAAACTTCAGAAGGTGTTGTCCATGAAAAAGGCAACCACAACTTGTTGACTTGCGGCTTGTCAAACACCCAGCATCATCAGAATCAGTGAAAATCTTCAGTTGTGTCTGTTCCGGTTGATCGGCATAGTTCCACACCAGTCTGGGTTTCCCCAGAAGATATCTTGCTAACCGTTTCAAGCCGTTCCAGTGACTCTTGTTCGGTTGTTGCATGGCCCTTGCAAGCTCCTTTGCACTGTAGTTGATATCCGGTCTATCCAAAGCTAAGTAATTCAGTCGCATGACCAAACTCCTGTAGCGCTTGTGGTCCAGATCACTCAAAGGCGTCTCATTCAGGTCAACTTTGGAAACACCTGGGGTCGCCACTGCTTTGCCACCATGAAGACCCAAATCATCCAAAACAATCTGCACATGTCTCGGATCAGCTTCCAACGTAGTTCCATGAGCCCCATAGTGAATCAGGCGATTCAACAGCGCAACATCTTGCACATCTGAGCTGTCAGGTCCAAGCAACCCACCAAACTTCAGTTCATACCTTTCCAGCAGTTTGGCTTTCAGCCACAACAAGTCATCTTCAAATCCCAGTGCTGTAACATCGTCCCCATGTATTGAAACCTTGATGTCTCGAAACTGATTGACGAAAAGCACCGGTGACCCAAGACCCGGGGCAAAACCATTGCAAGTGAAAAAGTCTGTAATCTCCAGTTCCCAACAAGCTGCTGCATCCCTGCAACCATACATCGCTCGATTGAGCCTGCCACATGTCCCTTCCGGGAGTCCAGCCTCCTCTGGAAGGTACACAAAAACAGCTCTGAAGATCTTTGCGCACCAATGCGCACGGCGGATGTCCACAAACATCACTTTCCTTCTCCGTCCAGCTTTGTCTCGATCATTGCCAGACCGCTGTAAACTCAAAAGCATCCTCACCGATTCCAGAGGCGGTGTTGCTGCAAAAATTGCCTCGATGTGGTTCTGCCGGATCTCCTGCACCACCAATCGTGACCTGTAAACTGGTCTCTCCACATCACCTTTGTTGATATCTATCCACCTTGTGCGGATAGGTGGTTTCCCAGTCACATTGTAGGCCTCCGACAATGGCACCACATCCCAAACACCATACCGCCTGGCATAGTCAATCTCCTCTCGACGTGCCTCAGCCACCTTTGAAGCCTCAAGTGGCTTTCCAGAAACTTCATCGGTGAAAACACTCCAGTCCTCATCCACAAGGTCCAGGTTGAGATCCTGCTCTTGATTGACGGGTCCAAAATCCAAAGCACTGATGGGAATCTTGCGCTTCAGTTGTTTCCGTAGGCCCTTCAAAATGCTTCGAATCAAACCAGTTGGATACACCTCACATTGTTTTGCCTTTCCACCCATGAGCGGAATGTGACGATGCCAGCTGTGGCCATCCTTGACATAGTAAAAGACTGTTTCGATCTGTGAGCACTCTGCAGGTATATTGGAAACTTGATCTCATGTTTGCTGGCCGACTGTACATCCCTCAAATCTTGCAGCAAAATGCCGCGACTCACATCCAGAGTAACCCTTCTTTGAACTGCTGACCATCGGGGACCACCGCGATGAACCATCTGACCAAACTTCGCTGTCATTGAAGTCTGCCTCCAAACACCTAAGGCGTTTGGATCGTTGCTGCATCGCTTGCTGAGCTCTTCTGCGATGCACTCACTGTTGGTCAGGTATGATGTTGTTTTCTTTGCTAAGCCCTCACCATGTTCATCGGTCAAATGCATCCCCTGTTCGCACATATCACCTGTCACTCTCAGCACTCCAGGAAGGTTCTCAATGCGCTCGACTGCAGCTGATTTCCATGATGCCGCCAGCGCAGGATGTTCATGCAAAAAGAACTTCTGCCGAGCATGTCGCTTGGCATACTGGTCACAGCAAAAGGACAAATGTTCTTCTGCCTTCTTTAATTTCTCTGCACGCACCTGAGGATCCACCTTGCCCTCGTTCAGCGCCTGAAGCTGCGAGTATGGACCGCAAGGAGGTGACCCAATCAAAAGGTCTGGGTCCAGGGCATCTATCAATGCCTCTGCTTTGTCCCGGCAGTCTGCCAGGTCGAAGTTCCATGCTTGACCACTTTCATCACATGTGGTCAAGTCCATAGCCACTCCATCACCAAGCCTCCTCTCTCTTGCATGCTTGGTAACTCTTGGCGGCGAAAACAACTCAATGATGGAAGCCTTGTCAAAGTCGTAGGCCTCTCGCCTTGACACAGCCCCAATCTGCAGTAGAAGTCTCCGACACTCTACCTCCTCATTCGACAGCATATCGGCAGTTTCGTGCAAGCTAGCCTCTCGCACAGCTTCATTGAAAGCTCTCTCCGATCTCTGGCCCAAAATATGCAAGCTACTGATATCCATTGGAGGTGGTGCATCATCAGAAGCTTCCAAATCTCCTGACCTCTCACCGACTCCCTCATCCTCAGCCACAATCGGCTCCACAGCTTCTGAATCTTGTACATCAGGAACTGCAACCACATTGGACTGATTGTTACTGCTGAGGCCCCCTTGGCCTCCAGCCACGCTTGCATCCGGAAGACTTTGATCAAAAGCAGCGAAAAGTTCCTCTGCTTCTCGTTCACCACGGGCCACTTTGACAGGTTTCAAATGTTCACCATCTGCCAAAGCTCTCTTCTTCTCCTCTGCCTCTCGATATGCCACTATGTACTTTTCCTCTCGCTCACGAAGCCTCTCAAGCTTCTGGCGCCCTTCTTCGGTCTTCGCCATCTCCTCACTGATCCTTTTCTTGCAGGCTTTGCTATGTTGTTTGTGGCTCAAACCACCCTTTGCCGCTTCACAGCCATCACATCCAGCTGTGTAGCCGAACTCCTGCAACTCCACATCTCTCCTGATGTATATCCCTCTTGGAATATACCCTTTCTTCTTTCTCATCACATCAGGTTGCGCGGGCTCTGCTCCAGGCAACTCAATCTCCAGCTCCATGTCAGGAACAGGTCTTTGCACCGCCTCCCTCTCAGGTGGCGGTCTCATCTGCCATGGAAGCCCAACAAATGCCTCAAAGACATCAGTTTGCCAACGTTCTCCAGCTGGAAGACTCTTTGTCGTCCAGGTTCTGACCACGCCGTTCGGCGTCCCAATCCATCGCATGCCAGTGCCCTCCTGAATGCCAAGATAGACACCCACATCAAACTTTGCCTCCAGCTTGCTGCGATCTCTTTCACCTTTAGGAAGCTGGTAGTAAACGCACTCCCCAAACTCTGGCAAACGGATCTTCCATGACTTCCCAGTGGACCTCTCATATGGGGTCCTACCGTCAGCTCCTTTCTGGAACCTTGAAAGCAAAGTTCCACAGTAGTTCACCAACCAACAAAGCACTGGATGCCGAGGTGGAATGCTGAACTCATAGTTGTACTCAAGTGCACTCTTGAGCGTTCTGGCCTGAGCTTGCAATCTCCCCACCGCAGACTCGATGGGTCCATTGGTCTGCGACTCACCTTTCACTGCATCCTCAAAGGACATGTTGGGAAGTTGCTGTTGCACTGCATTGCGAAGTGCCACCAAAGACCTCTCCGTGTCAGTCTTCAGCACCGATCGTTGATGCCCCAAAACTCGAAGAAGCTTGGACACCACCGCAGCATTGTATTGATGCTCCAGCCCCTTCTTCGGCAAACTCACCGAAAAAGTTCTTTGAGAGTTCTCATCCAAAATGGCCTGAAGTGGAAGAGTCTCCTTGCCCTCCTCCCGTTTGCTGAGGTAGAAGTAATCCATGAAGACCCTCGGACGAACTTCTTTGTCATCGCCCGCACTTCTGCCCACCACTCGGTGCATCAAAGCTCTGCCTTTGCCTCGAACACAGTGCCGGCACCAAGACCGGTACGGCACATGGCTGATGTTGTGCTGTCGGATCTCCTCCTCACTGGGTTTCACCGGCACCGACAAACCCATTTTGATCTCCTCCTCTTCATACTCTTCGTGCAAAGGGTCTGAGCCATCCAGCTCAAAATCTCCAGCCTCTCCCGGCTCTTCAAGGATTGAAGGCTCACAGTCAGAGTCCTCTGCACCACCATCTTGCCGAAGTCCTCCTCCATCACCTGTGGCAGCTTCAACTGGTTGCGCATCTGCTGCCAGAATGTGAGTGATGGGACTTACGGTTATAGGACTGCTCCTCACAGAATTGTGGGAGCTATCCAAGGCACCGGCCCTTGAAAACCCACATTTCTCGGGTGCACCTGGTACAAGGCTTGTTGATACACCCCATCTTGTTGCTGAAGTCGCATGTACTCTCCAGTCTCCCTGTCATAGATCCAACTCTGTTCGCCTTCAGGGTTGAGAATGATGGTGTGTCCCCTGTTGGCGATCTCAGCTGCTGACAGAAGCACCTTGTTCACATTGGCCACCGAGAACTGCGTCTGTCTCAAGTAGCCCTCTTCTGTCACGACCACCGGATGGATTTTGTAGCACTCTGGGACCAGGTCGCCACTTGCCGACACAAACTGCAAATTGGGATCTCCTGGATAGTGAGGTTCATCCGGAAATGCATCAGGCGGACAAACTGAAGCCGCCGCCCCACTGTCAATCGTCACCGTGATGTTGCGACCCCCAAGCATGAGTTGCCTGAGTCGCCAATCCAAATGACTAAAATCTCCCTGTGCAGCTCTCTCCAAAGTGTCGTTGGCCCTGGCCTCAATGTAGCGATCACGCCTTGTCATAGCGCAAAGGCGCCTGATTGTCAAACTGCCTGTCTGAGCTGGTCCACCAGGGCTAGCTGATCCACCGCTTGCAGGCGACACTGGAATCGATGGAGGTTGTGGCACCGAAGACGATGATGCCGCCCCTCGCCTCTGATATTCTTCAAGGGCAGCTTTGGCATATTGTGATTGTATCTCTCGAAGTTGAGGATCCACTGCATTCAGCGGCTTCGGCGACTTGTGCCAGCACTGCTCCTTCAGGTGGCCCATCTTGCCACAATTCTGACAGTACTTCTCGCCCTTTTTGCCAAAGCCCTTTCCCTTGCCATCCTTCGACTTTCCCTTCGATTTTCCAGCATCCTTGCCCTTGCCCTTCTGGTCTTTGGATTTGCCCTTGGACTTGCCAGCGCCCTTCATCTTGCAGTCCTTTGCCAAGTGCGGCCCACCACAATTGTAACATCCCTTTTTGTCCAGGGATCCAACATCCATTGTAGTTGCTGTCACCGGAGCCACCTGATCCAAGTATGTGAAAACCTCTTGTCTCAGCTCCAGATAGTTGTTGAATCGAACCGCATTCAGCTGTAAGTGCTCCTGCAACTTGGATGGGCACATATGAATCAGTGCAGCCATCTTCATACTGTCACTGACCCGATCAGATCCAGGCCTTGACTCGTAGTCCACGATCCTGTTCTCCCAGCTGACGACTTCACTGGCCAGCTTGTCCAGCGATACTCCACCAGTAGGATTCGTGATGCGAATCAAATTGGCCCTCTGTCTGCCCAACGTCGCCGGATTGAATCTCACCTGCAACAACCTGAAGGCTTCTGCACCATTCGGCCTCCTGGCCTGTCTCACCAAACTTCTCGCCTCACCACCAGTGTAAGAAGTCAAAATTGCATACACATTGCTTTCAGCATAGTCCAAAAGGAGAGGATCTAAATGCCGAAATTTCAACTTCAGTGCATTCACGTCAAGGGGTGTCTTGGGCTGCTCATTGACAATCCACTCCAAGACCTCATACAACCCGTCGAATCGCACAAGGTGATGATCGAATCTGTCCAGTCCTGAAAACTCATCTTTGTTGTCGTAGGATCGAAGGTGGTTGGTTTTCCAATTGAACGTCCATCTATGCCACCCTGCTGAATCGCATAGGCCACGGCTGGGCTCAAAGCAGCCCCGCCTGCTCCACCACCTCCGACTCCATACATTGAATTTGGTCCCAAGCCAGTCTGTGGGATTTGTGGAGGGGTTCCCATGTTGAACATTGTAGGTGTCCCACGGCCCACACCTCCAGTTGGAGTTGTCGGCGCACCAGCACCAGAGCTCCCGGCTGCAGTCACACCAGGCCCACTCTGTGCCGCCCCACCACCTGATGACGTGGCTTGCTGCATCTGTTGCATCTGCGTCTGTATACTTTGCATCGTCGTCCCAAGCTGCTGCAGTTGATCGGCCGAAACCACATTGGCCTGTTGTTGAACTTGTCCTTGAATGGCCTGCATAGCTTGTGCAATCTGCTGAATCTGTTCCTGAGTGCTCGCATGGGCTTGCGACATCTGTTGTTGATCCTGTGCAAAACCAGCCTGAACTTGCTGCACGACCTGAGTCACCACCTGCTCAGTTGTCTGCTGTGTCATCTGCACCGCAGCTCCAGCACCCTGAATCATCTGACCCATCTCATCAATGCGGGCCCTCTGACTCTGCTGCTCTGCCAGAATCTGCTGCAACACATTGGCGATCTGTTGCGACTCACCGGTGCCAGTGCCGTCTGCTTGAGACATGTCGTACAAGAAAACTGTACCAACCAGGAAAATAAGCACACCCAAAATCTGTAGAATCCAGTGCACCCCACGAAATCCGGTTGGCCACCCAGGCCTAGGGCTTGAGCCCACTCCACGCAGCACCAGGTCTCCAGCTGCGATTGCTCGACGACGAAAGCTGGTTGTTGAGCGGTCCAGCTCCGCTACCATGTGAAATGGTAACAACCAAGGAAAACCCTGGGCACACTCGGGCAATCCTTTTTGTCACGGCTGCGGCCATGTGTGAAATGACCAAACGGCTGAACAACCAATCCAAGCATATATATAATAACTATAATAATATATTTATATATATATTATAACATGAACAATGGATGCAAATGGTCCAAAATTGGGAGTAGCCCAACATGAATGTTCCCGAAAATTAGACTGTTGTGTTGTCTAGTATACACATGTAATGAATATATGAATATGACATATCCGCGAATAACTTTCGCAGGCGCTGGAAAACATACCTTTGAAGGATCTATTCATGACTCGGGATCCCACGAGATATTTAATGTGTGGGGGAAAGGACAATACACACAAACAATGCATATATATATAATATACATGTGTATATATATATATATATATCTGGGTAAATTATAATATTTCACTAACCTGAATTAAGGCTATTTGGGGATATTTTCCCTTACTAACCATGATTCCAGTGAGGTCGCAGTGAGGTCGTTCTAACTTACCCATATATATATATATAACCATAATAATTAATGGTGTAGCCTAGAGTCCCTGCCTGACTTGATCCCATGAAGCGGTGGCCACCGGCAAACACCTGGGTTTTTAACTGCTCTCTGCAATCGAATGTTGGCAAAGGATAATCACCAATTCTACAAATTCGTTCTACAAAAGAGTGAATGGAACTTGAGGAAAAAGATATTGAAAGTTTTTCAATTATCCACATTCACTCTTCAAACATCTTCAAACACCAAATCATCATGAATCATCTAATTATTGATTCCTATGATTCTGACTTGCCAGGTGAGATTACTGCAGCCCACAGTGGTGTCCACTAAATGTCCTGGACATTAGGATGATTCCTGATGTGGAGGTTTCCATAAATGGAGGTGCTCCAATAGCTGGATGGTTTATAAGGGAAATTTTTATAAAACGGATGATTTGGGGGTACCCCAAATTATGGAAACCCTCATATATTTATGATGCTACTTACCTGTTGTTACTGTAGATACTTCGTACATCTTCGTACACGGGTGAGCCCACCGCCAAGCTAATTCCCAAACGCAAACAGACCCAAACTTCATTTGATTTATCTTCAGATGCTTTCATTGTTACAAAAACTTTCAATATCTTTCAACATCACCTTTTCCTCCTTACAAGCAGCCACTTTTCGTCACGGTCCTTCAGCAAGGAGGTGTTGTGACTCATGTTGTGTGGCGTCACAATCATCCGCTTACAGCCAATGGAGGCATAGATCCTTCGCCCATGCTCCTGCCCAGGGAGGCCGGCCGGGAACCATCCTTTCTTGAAGAAGTTTGGTTCTTTGCAGTCCTAAATATACTGGATATATAAATCAATACAATCCACAGTACATGTAAATATATAATATTTAAAAAAATATTATTTAATATAGTTATATATGATATAAGAGCTATGTATATATATATATAAATAATTAGTGTGTCTATATAAGGTGTATCCATACATATCATATGCATAATATGTACTGTATGTATATAATTGTATAATGGTGGATGCTAATTAGTGCGATTGGACCCTACTATGAAAACATATCAGATCTTTTTTTCAGGAGGAAAAACAAATAGGTCAAGGAAAAAGTGCCATTTGAGGAGCTCCAATCCTCCATTCTATTTTGAATCCTTAAAATGATCCCTTACCAAAGCCTTATTAAAAACAGCACCCACACAATTTTTCAAATGGGTACCCCATGAGTGACTCAGACCCTCAAATATAAAATTGTTTGGATGGCACACTATTGTGCAAAGGAAATTCTGGGGTAAAAGAAATCAAAACCTTTAATCCACCTTTCTGTGGATATACTGTAACTGGTCCATTTACTTTAGAAAGCATTTGATATGAATTGAACTCCTTACTTGTCCTTAGATTTCTTTTAGGGTAAAAAGAGAAAATGAAGTCAAAACAGTTTGACATGAGTTTGAACCCCTTACTTATCCTTAGATTTCTTTTAGGGTAAAAAGCGAAAATAGCTGAAAGTATATTGAGATGAATTGAAATCCTTAGGGACAGAAGAAGAAAATAATTGAACGTGGATTGATATGAGTTGAATTCCTGACTAATCCTTAGAGTTATTTTAGGTTCGAAAGGAAAAGTAACTGAACGTATATAGATGGAAATGAATTGAAATCCTTACTTATACTTAGATTCTAAAGGAACATGGATTGAACGTAGATGAAAATCAATTGGAATCGTTACTTATCCTTAGATTTCATTCAGGTTATAAAGGAAAAACAATTGAAAGTAGATTCAAATGAATTGAAATCCTTGCTAATCCTGAGGTTCTTTTAAGATTTAAAAGGAACATCAATTGAAAGTAGATTGGTATCAATCAAAATCTTTACTTAAGTTGATTATCCTGAATTCCCCAGACCTGGTCCCAAGAGATTTTTGAATAAACATGAGTATACCTCAATTGTTTCAGGACGGGGCCTACATTAATCAGCATCCAACATTATATATCATGTTTATAATATATTATTTATATTATAATATATATATATGTATCAATACACTGTATATCCTATTATAACATGATATCATATCCCATTTGTAACAACATATTTTGAAGATGTATTCATGGATAGTTTATGACATTTTTAGCTGGTTAGGTCAATACATTATCATCCAAATAGCACAATTATCGTTGTTGATTCCAAGTACTGGAAAAGTTTGTAGCCATCCACTTTGCTGACCAAAAAAAACCATCAGAAACCCGTGGCAAACCCATGGCACCCATCAGAAAACCAAGGAGCCGGAGAGACCAGGGAGTCTTGTAAGCCATGAATGATCAAGGTCGGACTTCTGATCTTCGGCGTCAACTCCTGATGTTCGAGCTCAAGGGTGGCGAAGGCGGCGGATTTCACCCGATTCCATGGTTAAAAAAAAGCCAACCCTGGCCATCTTTTTTTCGGACGTAACCTCCAAAACAGAGGCCAAAAATGGAAAATATCATGAAATATGAAGGACATATATCATCGAACTATATCGAACTGACATCCTGGAAAGACTAACCTCGGAATCTTTTTGGGGTTGCTATAGTATGAAGCCCAGGTTGATGACTTCATTAGCAGCCAGGGGGATCTCATATTGAAGTACCTCCATCTTGACCTTTCTGTTGAGCGGACCTATTGCCTCCTTCACTTGATAGAAATCGGTAGACGGTAGGTTGTCAGATCGTGCTGCTTCCACAAAAATCCCAACATCCGATTTCATGTTTGATGATTTTCCCCCTGATATGGCTGTATCTTGTTTGACATTCTACAGGTTTCTATCAACAAACCAGGACCTATGTATTGATCATTCGACCATCTCAGAGCCAGACTTGTGAAGATCTTGGTCTCTTAATGTTTGTTATACTTGGATTCGCTTAAGGAACCCCAAATAAGATTCCCTACAGATTCAGTAGTTTTCAGACTATGGATGTCCCATTCGGAAAATAAATATAATCTTCAGATATCTTCAGCAACGCCAGGTATGGCCATTCTTCTGTTGTGATTTGCGAACATTTTTCATGACCGATCCTGGATTCCCTTCATTTCAGGTTGGTATCATGGCTATGTTGGTTTACCCTCCAGTAAACCATCAGAGCTATGGGAAATTCCATGGTTTTTCTCCTATAGGAAATGATCTATTCTTTGCTTGGAGGGTAAGTACAAAACTACCCAAATTCCAACCAAAAAAACATCACCTTTGGGATGAATCGCCAACATCCCTCCATCGGGATCTTTGCAGAAACGTGGAGCATGAAGGCTCTAATCCAAAAAAAACACATGAATATGATATTGGAATGGAACATCCATGAGTACCCTCTATATTTGCCAATGAATTACCACTTTTTCAAGCAATGAACCGACCTCCTATGGCCAGCAAAAAAAACCACCATGAATTTCACTGAGATACCAAATTCGGAAAGCGATTCTCCAAAAAATCTGCCATTTGTCCGATCTGCCCGCGAAAGAGCCTGGGAACCCCCGCGCCGGTGGGTGAAGATACAATGCGGGGCCCCGTTTGCGATAGCTAAGTTGGTGAACACAACTTCAAAAGCTATGGCAGCTATGGTTTATGATACGTATAACATACCTTATAAGTATAGTTTTAAGTTTCATAAGCATACTTATTGGATGGTTTAGCTTTATAACTATAGTTTTCTAGTTTTCATGGGGGTTAGGTTAATTACCAACATCACTGGGGGGGGCACTTTGTACATGCTGCATCCCAGCGTTCAGAACACTGCTGTTTTTTTTTTCCGCCACAATCCCAATCATGGTTGATAGTGGGGATTTACTATATATATATATTAATTATGATTGACACGCGCCAGTTGCTAATATGGTCCATGGTGCATGGTTACAGTTAGTATTTAAAAACATGTCCCTGGTGAACGGTCATCCATCCCGGAATGAGAATCCCATGGCCAAGCTGCGACCTGTCGGGTGGTACCCGGCCTGGTAAACATACAAAAAGCTATTGAAAATGGCCATAGAAATAGTGAGTTTTCCCATTAATAGCATGGTGATTTTCCATAGCTATGTAAACGTTTACCAGAGGGTAACTACATTCAACAGTTTGATGAATAGAACTAGAACTCGCTAACCATCACTACCCTGAAATGCTTCGTGATTCAAATATTTCATATCTGATTGGGATCAAATAAAACACCAATCATACCCATGGTTGGTTATCCCATAAATTATGAGTATGCTGGCTCCAAAGTCTAGGTATATTCATCTATCTATACATTAAAAACTGATATTGTATACATACATACACTATAATCAATATATACATATATACATATATATATATATACATATATATATATACTTATATATATATATACATATATATATATGTATATAAATAAATACGTATACATACAGTACATATATATACATATATACATACATACATTATTTATACCTATTTATATTACGTAATGTCTCCATGTTTGGCATGATACCCCCCCGTTTTGACTTCACCGATGCGGTGACTTCCGTCAACGTGGCGCAGCCACGCGGCTCGCGGATGCTCGTAAAGGGACTGATCAGGATGACACCGGCAACCTGCCGTAAAAATAGAAATGGGTATGGATCAATACCTATTAATACCATTTTTAGGGGTATGAACATCCATTTACCAGCTATTTTGATGTTCACCAGGGGTACAAGGTTTTGACACACTGCCAAATGTCTTCGGTGGATCAAAGGGGTTTCAACACAAAAACCTTAAAAAAAGTGCACAAAAAAACACCATTGTTTAAAAAATATAATTACTATTCGTGTTGTTATTATTATGAAATCATCATATTATGAAAATATCAAGTCATATATATATATATATCATAGTACATGATTATATATGATTATATGATATGTATGTGCTATAATGTGGTTGAATTACATATAGTAAATTGTTGTTCATTAGACCAACCCAACGACCAACTATTGGGCCAACGAAAAATTCCACCATATGGATGTAACCAGCCTAGGGATCCACAAATGCTGGGTTGGCCATATCGAAGTGTTAGTGAAAGAATGAGGCTAGCTATCTTGCAAAACAACATAAACACCGAAAAAAAAGGTGTTCCCCAAGTCATGAAAGTTAAGGCTTATAGCTACCATAGTTTAACTACTTCGATTAATATCTACCACATAAAACCCTAGTTATTATGTTACTTATCGACCATTTTTACCGCCTTAGTTTTTATAAACTTAGAAACTAGTTTGATACGTTCCAAGAAATCACCAAGTTATGTTGTGTTGTGTTCATGACTAGATGGATATGGATCAGAATTTGCCGCGTCGAAATGGGAGGCTTGATACGCGCGTTGATATGAAGAAACAACAAACCACCAACCTCCGGCGTTCCAGTGGTCTTAACGTTTCACATTGATAAAACTATTGAAACGGTGTGTAATATATATATATATAAATAACTGGTTGGTGGTTGACCTACCCCTCTGAACAATATGAAAGTCAGTTGGGATGATGAAATTCCCGATATATGGTGTATAATAATGTATAATATGTATATATAATTATATATATATACTGTAAACATTGGAGGGATTAGTTGAAAATCTTTAAGTCATCACATTCATCTCATTGAAATTTCCTCGAATTAAGAACAACCACCCGCGTCCATCATCAAGCACCTCCGCCTTGGCCGCCAGTTGCACCGTGGGACCGGTTCCTGGTTGGTGCTGGAACAGTGGAAGATGTTGAAGCCCTGGTGATCTCACATCTGGTTCACCAGATGTTTTGGGTGTCATTTGGCCGAAGTCACCTTCAACTTGGTATCAGGATGGTTCCCTTGTAACAAATTTCCAGGCCTTCCTTTTCGGGATTTTCTATGAACTGAAGATAACTGAAGCTAGCTCTGGCGTACGTCTTCCTGCATATATAGAATATTGAAAACTGATCATTGGAGATACCCTCTGGTAAACTAACATGGCTATGGAAAATCACCATTTTTGATGGGAAAACTCACTATAAATGGTAATTTTCAATAGCTTTTTGTATGTTTACCAGAGGGTATTGGAGTGTGCTCTTCCTCGGCATCCTGAGCCCCAAAAAAGCAGGATGAAAGCAGGCCTGCGCGGCGCGAATCAAAAGGTGCCCTTCAGAAGGTCAACGCTTGACAGAGTTTGGTTGACTCTACCATCTGGTTATGACTAACATAGCCATGGAAAATCACCATTTTTAATAGGTAAACCGGTAAACCATCTATTTCTATGGGCCATTTCCCATGGCTATGTTAAATAACCAGATGGTACCTACCTACATCTACACACAGATTGTTGCGAAGTTTCAGGACAAGCATCCCAAAGATCTACCAAAGAGCTTGATGCCATCCTCAGTTTGACTATCGGCAGACCATGGCCCCAGCACTCGGCCATGGTGCATTTTTTCGAATGGAAATCCAATTGAGATAAGCGAAAAAGACTGGTGAAACACGGTGAAAAGAAACATTAGCAACTAAACGCTATAATATTTTAATATATGTATTTAGATTTAAAACAAAGAAAGGTTAGACATCGTTAGAGCAGGTTAACCGCTTCAGCCGACTATCATTCCAAACATGCCATATCAGGCTGAGACAACATTTAGGCCAAATCGAAAGTGGCCAGAAATCAGGCACCGTTTTCTCCATGCCAATCCCAGGCGTGAAAAACTCAGTCAACGGGGAAAAAAATTCTCTGTCTGAATGTCAAGCCCGGATGAATCAACGAGTCGATTTCTGGGTCCCCAAAATGGTGATCAGTTACTAATTTGGTGCTGAATCCCCGTAAGGCCCTAATTAATTGATCACTGGATCACTTTTTTCAGCTGGTTGGTGGTTTTAACCGAAACCCCTCTGAAAAATATATGACAACTCGTCAATTGGGATGATGACATTCCCAATATATGGAAAGTCATAATCCATTCATGTTCCAGTCACCACCAGCTGTACTATTTTTCAGCTACTTATTCCCAATTTTATATAAGAGTATTCATTCGAGGTCCCAGTTTTATAGCTAAACTTCATCAATTCTGAATAAACTAAGTTTATGAATTAGGTATGGGTCAAAATTGGGTACCCCTTAAAAATAATGGATGGTTAATACTAGTCACTAGACATTCACATCTGTGGTCCCCTAGGTCCGGTCTTCCATTTTGACCCACATCCAATTGATGATCCAAGTGATCCAAAGCTTCGTCTGATGGGATCCCTTCATTCTCACCGTTTTCCATTCACATGGCCATAAAGAAAAGGGGGCTAAATATGGCTAAATATGGCTAAATCCTAAGATAATTATCTTAGGACACCGCCATATCATGCCATATCCATATCTGGCCGCTGAGCATCTTTGGGCCACTTCAGCGTTTCCGTTGCAAAGTGAAATGCCGCATGCGCATTGGCCATGATGCCGGCCTGATTTTGGGGCAGCGTCCTTGGAAAACACCCGTCTCGATGGATCAGAATTGATTTGGTAGAGGGACAAGTAGATTCTGTGAGACAAAACAACCCGTAGATAGATAAATAAATGGATAGATAGATAGGTAGATGGATGGATAGATAGATAGATAAGATAAGATTAGATTAGTCGAAGGTCTGCGCCAAGGTACTTTCTCGTTTGTGGTCTTGCTCAGGTCAAGTGTCTGTCTCAAGGATCCCCATTGAAACACGACGGACGACGAAAGACGACGAAGAGTAAAAAACGAGCAAAAGGGTTTCAAGGGTTCCTCTACGGGACCTCCGGGGGAAGAAATTCCAAGGGTTCCTCTCCGGGACCTCCGGGGAGAAAAAATAAAAATATTTTTTTTTTAAAAAATAAGACGGGCACATACCATTGAGAAAAACACATAGCATGTTTTATGCATATTTGCAATGTTCGGTCGCAAGTGTTCTTCCCCGGGGTATGGGTTTGTCTCCGGGATTTTTATTTTATTTTTTATTTTTTTGGCAGCCTTGAGCGCGAACCTTCACTGTGGGAAAACACTTGGCCTTGAGAAATCCTTCGAACATGGGAAAGTTTTCCAGGCATACCGTTGGGAAACCAGGACCTTTGAGCAGGGGAAAAAGAAAGCACCTTTGATACAGGGAGGAGGGTTGAGACAGGCACATACCATTGAGAAGGTAGAAAACCCTTCATCCAGACTTTTGAATTAGAGTATATAAAATTAGATAAGATTAGATTAGATTAGATGAGATAGATAGACAAACAGATAAATACATAGATAGAGAATTTGACCGAATGTAGTTTGCCACAGTCATGAACTGTTTGTTTACAATAAGAGTTGGGAGCGAACCCAGTGTGTATGTGTACATTGACATGATTTGGCCAGTGCACTATGTCACCCGATAGATCCCTAATGTTCACGATGTTCAACAGCTAAGTATGCAATTTATGGGGGTACGCCATGCAACCTTCCTGAAAGTTATCACATTGTTTCAAGTTGTTTCAAATTGTTTCTAATTTCTACTATCCATTCATCCGTCCATCCATCTATCTACCTGACCTAAACCCTCAGAATACCATCCGAATCCAGAAATGGTAAAAGAGCGAAAATCATAGCCCACAGGATCCATTATATGCCATATATGGTAACATTTACCATTCATATACCCCAGTCATGTTAGCATATATACCAGCACCATGGATCCTATGGGATAGGGTAAACCACCAGGCTCCGGCCTCATCGCAACTTCCAGGACAGATGCCATAGCCAGGGTATTCCACGGCCAAGACCTCGATGGAAAATTCAATGCTCCGTGGAAAAATGTGGAAAATCAAAAGGCCATAGATATCGCCATGTTTCCTTTCACAGAAATTGGACCAATGATGGCTGGTTGGTGGTTTCAACCGAAACCCCTCTGAAAAATGATGGACAACTCGTCAGTTGTGATGATGACATTCCCAATATATGGAAAGTCATAAAATTCATGTTCCAGTCACCACCAACCAGATGGACTCTGGATTTCTGGAGTCTTCCTGGAAATGTTCAACACATGTTAAGATTGGCTAATGGCTAAGTGGATAGCCAGCATTTTCTCCTGCGATTCACCAGTTGAGCTTTCTCCGAACTGATAAACTGCTTGGGACCCACCCAGTGAATTTCAATTGATTACTAGTTGGTGGTGAAATAACAATCTTGAAACATACGAGTTCGTCAATGGGAAGGATTATCCCATATATTACGGAACATACTTTTTTTGAAACCACCAACCAGATTTCAATTGATTAAGTATTTCATCTGATAATATCAAATCATAAAACTTCATGAACATGAAGTATCATTTCAATCGATGTTTGACTTTTTATGATATGTTCATAAAATCCAATCACTATGAGATACCATGCTCGATGCGATGTTCAAATTGATCTAGGAACAGTATAGTACAACCCCTTGGGAGCGAAGAACTTTCCAAATCAACACTGGGTGCCCAAAGAGTAGTAAAGGGCGAAACGGCTAGATGCAAATGAACTACCAACGTCTTGCCCGAATTCGATGATTAGTATAGTCAGTAATTATATACCCCGGCCAGCAATTTACCGTGCCTGGTTGGAGATAAATCGTGTTTTCATGTGTTTTCCATATGCTGAGGTTGAACAGGAAAAAAACCACCCAGTCACAACTGAATTTTGGTGCGGGACACCACCTTGTGCAGCACAAGAGCTTCTGGCACATAAGAATATGGGGCCCCGCGTCAAATGTTAAGTCCCATTTGAACCAAAGGTTTTGGGTAGAATTACACATTACAGATGTTTTTTTTTTGAACGTTTAAGTGATATTCATTATTCACAAGTGTTTAACATAGATGTGGAAAAGCCATGGGGGTTTCAGGGCCTTGATCAGCCAATGGTGGCTTTTTCCCATGCCTTCCTCCCATCTCCACTTGACCCGGTTCCACGGTCCCAGTGGCATGAACTTGAAAGAGATCTCCTCGGGAAATCATCCGATTCCCCATGGTTAAACAAACAGGTCAACAAATCTCAGATTTTTTTGTGCACATCCCCTGCTAAACCATGATGTCTGGGGGTGAATATTATGTACAGGGATTTTTTCAAGGGAAGGGATGGCACGGGATGGCCATAAACATGCGGTCAATATGTTTCAGGAGTTTGAAGGTGTGCAACCATCAAATTGGCGGGTCGATCATCAAACAGGTTGGGATTTCACAGACAAAAAAAAGTGGGGCTTTTTGACCATCAAACGTTGGGATCTGACTTATTTGGGGCGAATGGTGTGAATATCATCAACCACGAATTTCTTGGGTACCCGGCCTGGTAAACAAACAGTTTGCGAACTTGAACATGGTGATTTAGTTCGGGAATTTACCCAGCTATAAAATGGTGATGTTCCATAGTTTTTTGTATGTTTACCAGAGGGTATCCTATTTTCAGATAACCCGCAGAGATGAGTTGTGTAATGATTTATCATACCTAGAGGATGTGCAAGACAGTCATGGAGCTTCTCCATCCACGATCCACGGGTCAGCCAGGAGTTGATGAGGACATCAAATAATGTCAACCCCGGATTAATAAACCATGGTTTATATTGGCTTATTAGTTAGGGTGGCTAATCCTCCAATAGATCCAATAGTCATAATCTGATACTTAAATGGTACCCTCCCTTTTTTCAACAGCCGTTTGGGGTTTATTAACCCAGGGTTGACATTACTCAATCCGTTGGCATGTTGTTAAATCACCCTGTCAACTTGTCAACTCCCGTCAAGCTATGTGCCTAACACCCCTCTGTCAGTTCCCAAGCGTCTGAGCATCTTGCAGAAGCCGTAGCTCAAGCCCAAATCCTCCGCGTTGGCGTGAAAGTAGATGAACAGGAAACGAGCCTCGGCTGGTTAGAATTGCCAACGCAATTTTTAGAGTTTTTAGGACCTGGCAATGTGAGTTGGCTATCATGTTTTAAGTTGTTGGGGTATGTTGGGGTGGTGTGACCATGCATTTATGTGGCAAATTCTTGGCAGACACCATCCAATCTGGATCTCAACATTTCATGTTTGCAGTCTCTTAAACGGGGAGTTTTCAAGATCAAAGACCAATGTCCCTTTCCGTGAAGGAAAATCCGTTGATGTCATGGCATTGGGTCTCACTGGGGGCGAGTTAAAACAAGAAAACACGACCACCATTGGACTGTTCGCACCCCCCTAAAATCATCCAAAATCAAGCTATGGGGGTTTCCTCAAAGGAGGGTCACCCCCAAATCTTCACTGTTTTTTAGGGGCTTTCCATTGTAAACCATCCAGCTATTGTGATACCCCCCATGACTGCCTGGACAAAAAGAATGTAGACTCAACCTGGAGCCTGGGAGGAAGGTCGTGAGGCGAGGTAAACCCCATAATTCAACATCCCAAAATGAGTATTGGGTATGCTCTAATATTATCCAACATAATATTAAACCAACATAATATTATCAAGCAAAAGTTTCATAATTCAAGATAACATTATCCAAGTGATGATGTAAAATGAAGCTTTTTGATTCCAGGACGCTTAATGCTCCAAAAATACCTTGCCAAGAGACATGTTGAAATGGAAGGAACAAGCACGGTACTTTGGCACCATCCTGAACCGTGTCAGAGCAAAAAAATGCTGGGAAATCCTATATACCCTCTGGTTATTTAACATAGCCATGGAACATGGTCCATTTATAGTGGATTTTCCCATTAAAACCTCCATTTATGAGGGATTTTCCATGGCTACTGTTAGTCATAACCAGAGGGTAAATAGAGGCTTTACTGGGAAAATCACCTACAAATGATGGAATATCCATGAATCTCTGTTTGATGACTGGAGGTGACTCTAGGGTAAAACTATAGTTTTTGCCGCCTAAAAGACAGAAGAACACATAGCTTAATCCCAAGAAGCTCCGAACTACATATCCTGAACAGAGGCATTTCAGCAGACCAAAAAACAAGGACATGCACAGGACATACAAGTGCTACCTACTTCAACTGGGGGACAGAAAATGTCAACAAACGACATCGGAAAGTCCGAGGTAGTTTGACCAAACAGCCCATCCCAATCATCCAAATATCCCCTAAGTTGTTTCTCAGCTTCATCATGATTCATCCCCTTTCTCTTGGGACTTCTTTCATCACACCATTCCCCAAAAGCCATTTATTTCCATTGGTTCGATCCATGTATATATATATACATATACATATCATATGTGAATATCGACATATATGTATACATCAACATATAGCATGTATATATATATATATGATTGTATATGTGTATATCTATATATAATGCTTCAGAAAATTAGTTTCATGTTTGTATAAACTCTCTTCATGGCGGTCGTTGACGCTGCACTTCGTGGTCAGCTTTGGTTTGTCCAGTTTCTCCATACGCAAGTATAAGCAGGTATATTATGGTATATTGTTGGATGAAAAAACAGGAAGTGTTCAACAATATACTTATCATACTTCCATTACTATTCTTGTATTACAATCATAATATATTAAACCAGATTAGTTAAGTATATCATGTTGCTAATCTTCCCAACTTAAGTATCATCAGTAAAGAAACATCACTAAAAATCCCCAAATAATCCCATCCCACCAGTGGTGCCCCATCCCACCAGCGCCAGTGGTGCCTGGCGTGGGATGAGGATCAGCTCTCTGGGGAAGCTGTGGATCGTGTAGGACACCTTGGGCGCCGGAAAGATGAGCCGCTCCACCACGTTCCAACTGCTCCTTCGACACGCCACGGCGCGGCGCGTTGCGGAAAGATGGCGGTGACTTGGATAAAAAAGAACAGGCTATAGAGAAAAGTGATGGATACTGATGGTTGATGATGGTTGATGATGGTTGATGATGGTTGATGATGGTTACTGATGGTTGATGATGGTTGATGATGGTTGATAAATGTTGATCTGGTTGGTGGTTGACCTACCCCTCTGAAAAATATGACAACTCGTCAGTTGGGATGATGAAATTCCCAATATATGGAAAAATAAAAATCATGTTCCAAACCACCAACCAGTGATGGTTGACTGGTTGATGTTTTTTTTTGCGGAAAAACAAGCATTATCTCTAGTTTCGCCCCATCTGGCTGGGAAAATTTGACACTCTTGTAAGGGTAAACGTGTACAATGTGAATCAATGTGAGGCCCCCAATAGCGTTGGTGAAGATAACTCCAATTTCACTATGGTGTTTGACACTTGTAACATCTAGATTAGCTAGAGTATTCATGGGGTTTACGAAACAACAATCACGAATCACGTTTTTTTGGGCCCCACACGCGACATGGAACCAGGGGGCAACGCCAACAGTGGATGGATGTCTCCATGGTGATCTGTGCAGATTCACCCTGCTTTTCCTTACTCATCAGGATTCATTTATGTATATAATATTATGTACAGTAACATATTATATATATATGCAATATGTCATTTAATGGATTTTAATATCAATCATATTTTTACATTTACATATATATATATATTATACACATATTGTTGTCGCATGAGTCGTATGTGTTCATTCGCTTTGTTGTCGCAGTGCCAAGCAACCTTGAAAGGACCTCCCCAAATCCAAGTGTGCAACGCAGCCGAGCTTCGATTGTGAATTCAGCAACACCCACATTCAACTTGTCACCCCTTCAGCGACGAAATGACGCTGAAGCTAGTGCCATTTGGCAGTCCAGTGGCCATTGCATGCAAAGCGGGACAGTGTCTGGGATGTCTGGGCGTGGGCCCGCACAGGTTTGTCCTACTTTCAAGCAGGGGTCCTGCATTGACAAAGCTCAGTTGGGTGGGCAGTTTCTGACTCTCCAGGTTTTCGTGCGGGAAATCTGTTTAAATTTGACAGATTTTGACAGTAACATCCCAAGCCGTGAGAGCCATGTTTTCACATGTTTAGCTGAGTCTAAACCCCTCAACTCCTCAACTGTCCCTTTCCATGTTTCAAGTCTCTGTCAGTGACCTGTGGTTGACGTTCGTTGTGCCATGTCCAAGAAGTGTGACCTACAACGTATGCTATATGCATCTTTGTGCTTTGACAGGCTTGGAGCCCGATTCAGCTGCCATGTTGAAAAGAAAATCGGGCAAACCAGTCAAACATTCCTGGGACATTCCCTATGGATCCATGGCCACTGTCTGAGAAGGTACGGCTAACCCTCCAAATTTTCGTAAATCAAACCCCAGTCCCACGTCCTTTCAGAAGCTACGGCTGGATCCATAGGGATTCATTTTCGACAACAACTGCCCCACCCGTTTCACCCGGTTTTTCCCTGGCGAAACCACCGTGTTTTCCCATGGAAAAAGAACGAAGTCCCACCGCCTCAAGGTCCTGGCTGGGAAAGATCACCACCTGAGTAGCTAGTAGCGTGGATATTATGACATGGATCATAGTAGTGTTGTGATAATTGAAATATATATATATATATATCCATATAGTAAATATTGGAATAACATGCATATTTATATAGTTATGGAACGTGTATATAAAAATATAGCTATGAAAATATTAGTAGTACTATTGTTATTACTATAATTAATGGTAGTATTATCAGTATTTCTGCTATATGTAGAAATCATACTTAGGATGTTTAGAACCAAAATTTATTCCATTCGAATTGTTATTGTTTCTAGAATATTGTAGAATTAGCTAGACCCATAATAGGTATATATATATATATATTTAATAGGGGTACATGTTAGTGATATAACCGGAACAGAACAAATCACTGGAACGGTGGTGGGTACAAACTTAGTGTAGCTTAACCATTTTATGAGGATATTCATGGGAGTACGAACGGGATATAAATATGATATAATCAACCAAGTGGATATGATTTTATATGATTTTGAGTGTCTGAAAATTGGAAAAATACCACCCCAAATGTCAATGTTTCTTAGGAAAAATGCTTATTCACCGGTGGATTTGGGGGTATCGTATTCCAAACAACCCCCCCTTGGAATACCATGGCAATATCATGGGATTAACAAGGACATATCATGGGAATATCATCGGGAGATCACCAACAATTCGGATAATGGGAAGTAATCAATAGGCATAAAGGGAATATCGTTGGGGGTGTAATGAAGATATAGTTATACAATACACATATCACTACCTAATGGTGGGTAAACTGACTAGTTTGAAAGTTCCTGGATAAAGACTTGCAAATTAAAACTGGACAACAACATGTATGATTTTTCATGGAAGTAGACAAACCGCGGATTCTTACCACTGGATTGACAGGTTTCGTGACTCACCGCTGGATTGATTGTTGATCACTGCTATGGTGGCTAAATGAGTCGATGAACTTTCAGTGCCAAAGTGATCCAATCAATCTTAATTCATCATTGATCATCATCTTGTGGAATTTCAAATGCATGTTTTCATGGGCCACCTTGGACACCTAGCACCTTGGACACTTCTTGCTGAGTTCATCCTCGATAGTCTCCATAACTTTCTGGACATTCCGCAGGTGTTTTGAGAAAGCCCAGATTTCAGGACATCAAAAACCCAGATTTTGGCTGTTTCCCGCATTTGCCCCAGGTGGTGATTGGTTAAAACCCTATAAAACCCTATAAAGGTCCCGCAAGGAAGGCTCCGATAAACCATCCCTGACATGAGAAAAAGCTCGTGCCGTTGATGTTTCATCACCACTATATCTTATCATTTTTCTTAAGACATCGCATTATAATAACATTCCCCATAGTCATCCTGATTCCGAAAAAAAAATCCTGTTCGATCCCATGACATTTTCTTGACAAAAAACGGATCCGAAACAGTTTCCCAGGATTTCATGTTTACTTTGTGATTCCCCAAGCATGGAGCTGTCCAAAATGTGGGTACCCGTGACATCCATTTGGATATCCATGTCATCCAGTGATGGGGATTCCCCGTTGCACGCGTGCCGCACGCACCTCGTCCACCATGGCCACAAAGTTCTTGCTGTCTGCGGGGCATTTCAAGCTGATGCCCAGCGCCTCCCCGTAGTCTGAGAAGTTGATGTGTGAATTTTTACGACAAGACATGGGGATTTGGCGTCATTGAAAATACCTTGGTTGATGGGTTACTAGAGGGACTCATACTACCTAATTTACTAGGGATGTTAACGTGAAATGAACTTTGTTGACTTGATTCAAGTTGCGTGAATGTGTTTTAATTTGATCTAATTTGAATTATGTCATTAGATTTAACAACATATTTTTTGATTTGACCTCTTGCCTGATAACCGTGCTGCGGAAACAATCAAAAAAGCCATGGTCAGAGAGTGGGTTGTTGAACTGTTGCTTCATGTTCCTTCAAAAAATATGATTTGATTCGAAATGGGAATCCAGCGAAGAAGCGTAGTGAATCGGAATCCTTGTTAGCAACTTCCAGTCTGTGGAGTACTCGTTGGTGATTCAATCTGGCAAGGGAACTCAGGGAACTCCTGTTTTCGTACCTATAGTAGAAATCCAAGTGGACTCAAGAAATCAGGATTTTTCTGAGTATCAATGGTTTCATGAACCAATAGGTTATATGTATCAATCTTAGTATTCAATGTATAAATGGTGACTGGGGAGGATTTTCCAATGGATTGCTTTAAGCGAAAATTTACAGAACCTCCATATTTCATGAGAAAATCCATGGTTTCAACCAATCCGTTGAGAGCCTCTTTGGGTGAAATGGAAGTATTCCCCCATTTCTCCCGGCACCTGCAACTCCTTGAAGGAATGCCTCAGAGGCACTACATATAATATATATATACACACATCCCATCAATTTACTAAGCTTTGACAATTGCACATGTGTATATATATATATATAGTTGCATATATATATATATTATATGTATATATATATATACACACACACACACGTGTGTGTGTGTGTAGGTAGGTACAAATGGCATACATGCATGTGCCGTATACATAAAGATGCTCAACAAAATAAATACAGCATTGGTATATACGTATATATATATATATATCATGTCACACAAGTGTATGCATCCTATCAATTTCAAACATACTGCATTTTCAACCACCTCAAATATTAAGAAACATCATCCGTAAAAGATTTGAACAACACATTATCGTGCTCAAGGCGGTTTCCAGTAAAACCACATGACATTTGAGGCTTCTCACACCACCAAAAACAACATGTGCAATGACATCCAGATTCAGTAAAAAATATGCATGCGCGTTAGGACCATTAGGGAGCTATCTAACGATAGATTGATAATTAAACTTATGTGTTCTTATGTCTGATGAAAACAACATAACAACTGTATACTCGACAGTTACTTCAACAAAAAAAATAACACAAGTGTGATTTTGTAACAGATTAAACTCAGCAACTCTTTCCAGCACCCACACGTTTGGTACAGCGGTTACTCCCTTTTTCCGAAGAGGAACACTTTGTTGTGCAAGTGCTTCTCCATATCTTGATTTTCCGGAGCCGAACCTGGAGATCCAGGAGAGCCATTGGTGCATGTTTCAAAGCCAGGAGAGCATAAAAATCTTGTACCATCTGGTAATGACTAACGTAGCTATTGAAAATGGCCATTTATAGTGGATTTTCTCATTAAGAATGGTGATTTTCCATAGTTATGTTAGTTTACCAGAGGGTATCTCATATTTATATCTATATACTGTATAATTAAATGTAAATACTCATAGTACATTATAACGTATATGTAATTCTGAAACTATGTGCATATGATTGTATATGATTATAGATGATTACATATATTATATACATATATATGTCCAAAACAAAACGGTTGAATGCAGCAGCACACCTTCGAAGATCAGCAAGGTGAAACCTCGCGACTTCTTCAGCACTTGGTGCAAATGTTGACCCCCCGGCAGAGACACATCCTGAGGCAAGGCTTGGCCAGGCAAGGCTGGGTAGTACTTCACCAGCTTTTCAGATTCCCCCGCAAAAAACAAACACAAAATCTCGGATGTTTTACTTTACCATTGATTTAGTATATACATATATATATATATATATACATATATATATATTGTTGTTTCAATATGTTTCAATAACACAGTAAACATCATTACCGACATAGTTTAACATCTAAAAACTTCTCCATCTACTTGAAATTGGCTCCTTTTAGGTCTACACACGCTTGACCGGCTTGACCCAGGCCCATGTCCTTCGATGATTCCCTGAAATTTAGGCCTCAAAAATAGGCCTGGTGGGTAGCTCCAATTTAGGTTGCTATATATGGAAACACTACCAGAGAGTAGTCTGGATCTTTGAAACCTACGATATACCCAACTACGATTTAAGGTCGTGCCAATTTTGGAATGATTTTCTGTGCAAACCATGATAAAAACGGGCTTTGGACCTAGTGAGGCCGCCGCTTTGTCACTTGGCCTGCTGGACCAATTCCCTAGGCCCTAGCTATGCTATAATTCGATGATCTTCTCAGATATAACCGCCATTTATAGGCTATGTTTCATTTTTTCCCATATTTCCCAATGTGTTTTCCAGCATCCCCTACTCCCACACTGCAATTTGGAAACAACATCTGGAAGCTCTTCACTGAACTATCCCTTAAATAATCTTGAATCGTGTGTACCTATAGAATCCAATATGTGTAAGTGTATGTGTAAGTGTATGTATAAGTGTATGTATAAGTGTATGTATAAGTGTATGTATGTATGTATGTATGTATGTATGTATGTATGTATGTATGTATGTGTGTGTGTGTGTTTGTATGTATGTATGTATGTATGCATGTATGTATGCATGCATGCATGCATGTATGTATGTATGTGTGTGTATGTATGTATGTATGCATGTATGCATGTATGCATGTCCGCATGTATGCATGTATGCATGTATGCATGTATGCATGTATGAGTGTATGCATGTATGCATGTATGCATGTATGTATGTATGCATGTATGTATGTGTATATATATATATTAATATATGTATATAAGCAGTGTATATGTATACAATATATATCTATATATATATATATATTAAGTGTATATATATATATTGTATACAAAGTATACATATGTGTATATATATATATATATAAATATATATATATATATGCTGATTCCTAAAATAGGGCTACCCCCAGATCATCCACAGTTACACCATTTTAGTATTGAAACCGCTCTGGGGATCCCCCCCATTTTTTCGATGGCGAAGCCAAGTGTCAGGTACGCGATCTCCCGCGTGGATCCTGGGGAATTCACCAAACAATCAATACTGTAATATCAAGATAGACAATATAGATAATACCCTCTGGTAAATTAACATAGACCCTGGCAGATAGGGGTTGGAAGACTAGTTTCCATTAAAAATTGGTGATTTTCAGGGTCTATGTTTATTTACCAGAGGGTAAATAATATATGAATTAATTATATATAATATAATATAAAATCCAGGATTAGATAATAGTAATGTAACAATGAATATGTGATAATAAAAATAAAGATCAATATTGTACTTATATAGAGATCCATATAGTAATAAAAATAACATAGATAACATAGATAACATAGATAATATAGATAACATAGATCATCTATATGTAATATATTCATATGATACCCATTTAATATAGATAATATAGATAATAAACAAATATCATATGAATCTAAAGATAATATCCCTATGGATCCAGCCGTAGCTTCTGAAAGGACGTGGGACGTGGGTTTGATTTACGAAAATTTGGAGGGTTAGCCGTACCTTCTCAGACACTGTTTGGATCCCTAGGGTATAGAAAATATAGATACTGTATAATATCATATGGGTAATATTAATATTAATGTAGATAATCTAAAGATTAAAACATATATACACAATGACATACATCTTCATATATCTTTATACCCTCTGGTAAACTAACATAACTATGGAAAATCACCATTTTTCATGGGAAAATCCACTATAAACTGCCATTTTCAATAGCTATGTTAGTCATTACCAGAGGGTAAATCCCATTACACTTCACTACATCCCATTAGATCACCATTAAATCACCATAAATCACCATTATATATAAATCACCATAAATCACTATGTTAGTCATTACCAGAGGGTAATTCTAAAAAAAGAAATCTCCATTGCACATCGCCACATCCACCCCTCACGCTGTGTCACTGGCAGTGTCACGCTCCCGGGATGTCTCACCTGGTGGCCAGCCATCGATGTAAGTTCTGACGACGTCGGTAGCCCCCGGCCGGGCAAATGCTTGTGATGGGGAAGCACCTGATTTCAGCGATTCGAATCGCTGTTGCCAGTTCAAATTGGGAGGTCAACCATGGGAATTTATGGGAAAACCAATCATCTTATGGGAATATCATGGGAATTTAGATGAGAAACCACATGTCTATGGGAAAATCATGAGAACATGATGGAAAAAGCTGAGTTTATCTATCCACATTAATGGGATATAATGGGAAGCTTAACCTACGCAATATGGGAACATATTGAAACATATTGCTAACATGATGGGAACAGAGTTATTTTACAGGGGATGAACCAAAACAAATGCCAGGATATACTGCGAAATCATACGGACAAAAACATATACAGTATCTAAATATATTTTAAGGTCTGTCTGGAGAATTGGGGGCTCGCCGTCCCAGAATTTTTGCAATCGAAGTGAGAAAATAACATATTCACACCACCAGATTTTCGGATACCCTATATTCAACGAATCACATATGGTCACTAGTCAATTGGGACCATGATCACAAGGATTGACACCATAAAACCACTAGGAAATGATCTATCAATGGGCTCAAAATGGTGACAAGTCATGGGTGATATGATTAACCAGTGGATTTGGTTTATTCCGCAGCCTCCGAAATGGATGGTTTAATGCTGAAGAAAGAGGTAGGGCATGCTGCAAATCAATATTGAAGCACGCACATACGTATATTTATATTTATATATATGCATATATATATATATTGTATGTATCTGTAGATATGCATGTGTATGCTAGCGGGTAGAAAACAGCCGCTAGCGTGTCGACCGCTACGTCATGGGGTGCTGCAAGATTTCCCAAAGGGCCATCTCAAGGTCTTGGAGCAAAGATATGGCGCTGTCAATCCTTGCTTCAAGGGATTAGAATTTGGCAATGGAGATGGTATGGAAATTCCAAAGATTACGTAACTGGTTGGTGGTTGAGCCACCCCTCTGAAAAATATGAGTTCGTCAGTTGGGATTATTATTCCCAATATATGGAAAAAATAAAAAATGTTCCAAACCACCAACCAGAGATGGTATGGAAATTCCAAAGATGATTTAAGTCTCACAAGACATGCCCTACGCAAACGCTTTGATGGCTGGAGCAAATCTTGCCAAAGTGGTTCAAGTGACCACCACTTCAAGAACATAAAGCCCCGAAAATACCATACATCAAGTAAAATATCACTCCACTTTGCCCGGCAAGATCTATAACCATTTCCATTACCATCTGGTTATTTAACAGTTTGCCATGGAAAATCACCATTTTTCATAGGTAAACCATCTATTTCTTTGGGCCATCTATACCATGGCGAACTGTTAGTCACGAACGCGCGGTTCCCCACGCACAAAGGGATGTTTATGATTGTGTATGTACATGTCTCATCTGCATGTACACTCTGGTTATGACTAACAGTTCGCCATGGAAAATCCAGTAAATAAATGGAGGTTTCTTGCTGGGAAAATCCTCTATTTCTATGGGCCATCTATTCCATGGCTATGTTAAATAACCAGAGTGTATATTTCGTCATCTGCATGTGCATGTCCCATCTGCATTGTACTTACATTCTTTGGGCAAGTCTATCCTTAACATCTCATGACCAAACTTACAGTGGAATTTCCACTTGGTTTCAAACAACATAAACAAAAACAACCTTTTCTTTAGCAAACTACCTTGCATTGAACATAGTTATCATAGTTATCCGTATCTACCCCAGTATCCCAACCGAACCACTTTTTATCTAGCCAGGTGGGTTCATGCTTCAAATGCCGAACATCATATCATGGTCCATTTCATTAACAATGAGTCATCAAAATCAATGCAATAATTCAACCTCGGGACAGACTGATCATCACATACCTATTTACAACAATACACTTATATCAAAACATACATCAACTACATAATCATCAAGTCACTAAAGTACATGTTTTATGCTGATATAATCACCAAGTCCCCGTTTTATATAAGTTATATATATATATAGTAGCAATAGTAATAGTAATTAATAATAATAATAATAATAATATATTGAATAATATATATAATATAAAACATATAATGTATAGTATATATTATATAGTACATAATGTATAGTAAATATTAAATAGTATATAATCATCCAATCACTGTTTTTTTTACTTGATATCCTCATCATCTACATATCTACACATATCGATACATAAAATCATTCCATTGTTTTCTGTCCTATTATCCCATTAATATTCCATATTATCCACCATGCAAAAAAAAAACACTGGTTTCTTCATATGGAGGTTTCCAATCCATGGGGGTACCCCCTAGTTATCATCCACTTTCAGAGGATTTTCCAATATTGGTAACTAGGAACCAGCTATTGAGGTACCATTTCATGGAAATATGATGGTTTATTTCATGTGCTATTGAAATTTTCCATGAAATATTGGCTGAAATTTGATGGAGTTTATTTCTTTCGGAACCCCAATAGGTGATCCATCCATTGGGGTACCCCCTTGTAACTGCCAGGATGCGTGGGCACAGGCCGCTCCCAGTGTTCCATGGAGATCGAGGACTTGCGATAGGACCAGGCCTGGACCGAAAATCTCGGGACATCGAGGGGGCGCCGAATCTGCCACCAGGCGTGGACCGTGGTTTCCTAAGTCATGGGGGTACCCCCAGTTACCATGTTATTTGAAAGGTTTTTCCGAATAAAATAAAGCATCCAGCTATTGGGGACCCCCATGACTATGGAAACCCCCATATATAAATGAGTATAACTGGTTATAAATGTTTATCAATGATGTTTTGACTCCATACATTTTAGGTGACTTACTGACTTCTAACCTCTTATAATAGCTTATAACTGGCAAAGGGCCGCATAACTGTGAAAAAAAGAATGGATCGCTGGGATTTCTGGGGGAAGAACTTCACCCAACATAAGGAAACAAACGATGAATGTAGTTTTTGGCGTGACGTCTGATAGCGAAAACACACCAGACAACTTGAATTGATGAAGTTTAGTTATAAATCTGATTTGTTCAATGTGCTTCCATGATTGTCAAATTGTATTTCTCCATATGTGTCTGGAAAAATCAACAGAAACCACGCAACTGCCAAGCAAACAACTTGGCTATTCACTGGGATATATCCCGCAATATGTCATACTTAAGCGGTTGTAGGCCTCAGTTACAAAAAATGAGGGATCATGCCAGTGTTGGGCTTGATCGCTTGAGCCGCCAAAGTTGGTGTTTCCCTTCCGCCTGCTGCGCCAAGAGTGCTACAGCCGCAGGTTGCAAGAATGTCCTGAAAAACCAGGTCGTGGCCAACAGGTTGGCGAACAAAACGTCGAAAAAAAAGCGGAAAGCGAAAAAGGCAAGAATGTGTATAGTACATATGTATATATTATATATATATTATATATATAAATATGATATATATATATATTATATTATATATATATGGTTACCACCATACATATATGTACATAAATATATTGACATACATACTCATACATAATGTATATATATATATGTAAATATGTAGTTGTCCAGTTATCCTCTATAGTTTCATACGATTTGAATGAATTTCTGACTTTTGACATCTTTTGACCATGCGATACCATGCATATTCCAATAAACCTAGGAGAAACTGATTTCAAACCTTGGCTCATTTGAGGCTACAGCATGAAACAAACGATGTGCAAATCTCTGCCTTTCGAAGTGTGTCTCCATTCTCATTCATTCAATCATGTGTTTCCCAAATCAAGTCTGGAGAATCATACCATATTAGACGATATACATAAAATAAATATATTTCTAGCAACAACACATGGAAAGATCAAACATCCTGGGTGGCACTGACCTTATTTCTTAAGAAAATGAACATCCAGTAGCAAGGTGGTACCCAAGTCACGAAGAAATGGGTTTGTCCCAACCCCCATGGCAAGACGTTGGTTATATCCGTTTCATATCTATCATGAAACCAACTTAGTAAACATGAAACAAACTGGAAAACCACTACTGGTTGGTGGTTGACCAACCCCTCTGAAAAATATGAGTTCGTCAGTTGGGATTACTATTCCCAATATATGGAAAGTCATAAAATTCCATGGGTCCACACCACCAACCAGACTATGATGCTGGAGAAAATCCCATAATTCACCAACCTAAAACCACGGTTTCCGCAAGGAACATAACTCCAATTGGGGATAGTGAATTACCACAGTCCTACGCCGATTGTTGGGCCCCCCATAACTCCAATTGCACCATGATCAAGTTACGTATAACTATCGTATTCATGGGGATTATATGTATATATATATATATATAAACCAACTTGGCCATCAGCTGGGAACTTCAATCCCCTAAAACTCCCATTGAACTCCCATTGAACTGAAATGAAACTCCCATTCAACTCCCATTGAATTCAGATGGAACCCTTATTAAAAACTTCCGTTGTAGAAACCATGGGCCAGGATTGGCAAGGCGCAACATGTTGGCCAATCGCTGACCCCTGCCGCGCATGAAGAAGATCCTAAGGGCCACGGCAAGAACTTGATAAGTGGGATATAATGGGGAAAAACAAGCTAGTGGGATATAGTGGGATACTGATACCATCTGGTTATTTAACATTGCCATGGAAAATCACCATTTTTAATAGGTAAACCATCTATAAATGGGCCATTTTCCATGCGATACTGATAGATTCTGATTAAAAAAAAGGAAAGGGTCCATCAAGCCGATCAAGCCAAAAAAAACTCCACCCCGCCCCAAAGGGTTCATCTTTTTGCGCTTTCAATCTGTGATTAGATCAAATCGGTTCGAATTATTGCCCACCAAGCATGGCCAATCTAAGATACATTGCAGAAATAATGGTTTCCTCATTAGTATATATATAATATATATATATATGATATTGTTATATATACTTAAAATAATATAATACAATATAATACAATACAATTTAATACAATTTAACAGAATATAATATAATATGATAAAATAAAATGATATAATATATATATATATATTTATTTAATATAATATACTAAAATATAATATACTATAATATAAAATTAAAAAAATATAATATAAAATAATATAATATTATATAAAATAATATAATATAATATAATACATTTTATAGATAATATTAAATAATAAAATGATAAAATTATATAATATAATAATATATAATATAATAATATATAATATAATAATATATAATATAATAATATATAATATAATAATATCTAATATAATAATATATAATATAAAATTATATAATATAATAATATATAATATAATATAATATAATATAATATAATATAATATAATGTAATATAATGATAAAATGAAATAATATAGTAAAATATAATGATATAATGATGTAATGATATAATTAAAAATTAAAAAAAATAATACGATATAATATAATATAATATAATAAAATATACATATAAATAAATTAAAATAACATAACATAATATAATTTAATTTAATATAATATGATTTAATAAAAAATAATATAATATATTATAATATAATACAATATAATGTAATATATAATATAGTAAAATATAATATGATATATATATATAATATAAAATAAAATAAAATAATATATAGTAATATAATATATTAAAATATAATATGATATAATCTAAAAAATAATATAATATAATATAATATAATACAATATAATATAATAGAATATAATATAATATAATATAATATAATATAATAATAAATCATATACATATATATAATAGCATTTCTGTATATGGCAAAAACTTGTCCTAAATCCTAAACTGCCTGCTAGTTGGTTTTCCCAGATCCAATGGTTGAAGATCCTCAAAATGAAGCTTTTTGTGGGTCGAAACCATGCCCAGCGGCACAGGGTTGCGGCTGGAGACCACTTCTTGCGCACCTTTTTTTGCGTCGCAAAACAATGGGAGGGTTTGAAGTCATCTCAAGTTGGTGGTCATGTTGGATTGCATCATCCCTAGTTTAGAGAAATTTAGGCAACGAAAATGGTGCATATAATTTTATCAAACTGGTAAGTAAAAATGGAAGGATCCAAGAAGAAAGGGGATGTAGCAGCACTAAATGGTAGATGCCCTGCGGCCAGGACGCGCTCGGCCAAATAAGCCAACCTAATAATCCACCTCCCCTTCGAATGAGAAATCTACGTTTCAAATCAACTACCATGAAAAGTGGCAAATGATAGCATTGAAAAAATGGAAGCCCTTTAACTTTCCCACCTTAGTTTTACATGCCCCCAAAAAAACTGGTGGATTTAATGTACAAAAATTTCCCTACTAAAGTTGCCATACATTTAGGTATCTTCAATGTGGGGGATTTCAGTGATGTCTGTTGGTCTGTAAACCCCAATAGCCAATAGCTACAGTTATAAGATGTTCTAAGTATAATAAAGCATAGTGAAATTGGAGTTGTGTTCCCCAACCAATCGCTATCATAAATCAGCTCTAAATCCCACGGAAATCCCCATTGTTTCTTGATTTTCGCCACCACTTCACCTGCGGGCACCAAGATCTTCCCGATTTTCCCACTTCCAAGATCGTAAATCATAAGATATCAAAAGTCCCATGGAACTACCCCATGGATCCATGGCCACTGTGTGTGAAGGTATATACTTATATAACCCTCCAAATTATAGTAAGTTCTACCCCAGTCCCACTTCCTTTCAGAAGCTACGCCTGGATCCATAGGGATATGCTATTTATATTCATATGATATTTAATCTATATTATCTATATTATCTATATTATCTATATTATCTAATTATATTATCTATATTATCTATACTATCTATATTATATTATCTATATATTATCTATATATTATCTATATATTATCTATATATATCATTATAAAGATATCTATATAACTAGTGGTTTTCTATCCTAAACTGGGGCCCCACTCGTTCAATGCCCGTGAGGAGTTTGGTCTCCATGGTCTGCGGAATGCGCAACGCGCACTGGTCTCCATGGGCGGTGTCTAACATGGCTAGCGAAACAAAGTACCCAAACTAAATGGATGGTTTTTATGGGAAAATATAGATATTTATGTGTTTTTAAACTATCTAAATGGGGAAATCGTTTTTTTATTGGAAAATACGGGCATTTGTAGGTGTTTAAACTAAATATTTAAATGGGAAAATCATCGAACTAAAAATGGTGGATTTCGAAAGCAAGCCATGTTTCATTGCCAGAGGGTATACAACCCCAAAAACAGAACACAAAAATCCAGCCAAAATAGTGCTAACTTTCGCTTACATTTACTTTCATTTCACCGGATGGTTAAAGCCAACCAAAGAATGGTACCCTCTGGTTATTTAACATAGCCATGGAAACTGACCCATTTATAGGTTTACCTATTAAAAATGGTGATTTTCCATGGCTATGTTAAATAGCCAAAAATGGTACCCTACAGAAATGGATCGCAAAAGACTATGTCAAACTGATGGCACTTAAATGGGGGTTCCAGTGCAGTGTGAGACTTGACCAAACTGATGCATAGTGGATGCACTTTCAAGCACCGCACATGGCCGCACAAAAAAAAGAATAGAACATAATAGAACCGCACCTTCTGTATGACTAGGTTTGAATTTCGATGTCATGTTCGGAGCAACGGAATGGCATACTACAGCATTTCACACATTTTTTACACATTTTTACGCCGTTGATGCAAAAAAGTAAGGGTAGAACGGGATGTGACTATGATCACTCTGGCTTCACGACTGGATTCAAGTGATTCTCATCATGGCTAAAGAAACTGTCCAGCTAAACAGCAGCTGACCATCTCAGAATTCAATGGATTGGTTGAAGGGAAAATCTACAGGAAACCATGGTTTTTGCCATCAAATATAGGGGTTTCTTGTAAATTTACCCATCATCCAATTCTATGAAGAATTCTACACCAGCAAATCAATCAAACATTCCATATAATTCAGTGGTGAACCATCCTTTTTTCATGATCCTTCAATATAGTTCAATGATAGCCGCAATGGCAATTCACCATAACTATGGACAACCACCATGAAAAATGGGAAATTCAGGATCCTAAAATGGAGGTACGTTAGTACCATATAAAGCCACATGTTGGGGCCATATCTCCTGAAATTTAGCCCTGAAAAATAAGCTAGGTACCTCCAATAAATCGCTACCCTCTGGTTTTCTGTCAACAGTTTGCTATTTAACATGGCCATATTATCCATATTTATAGTTGATCTACCTATGAAAACATTGTATTTTTTCCATCGTTTTTTCTATGACCAGAAGGTACCTTTTCAGTGGCCCCTGAACGCCATGGACCCCAGCAAACCGACTGCCGTCGATTGCCATGCGCCTTGCGTTCACCTGGTCGGTTGCTGGATGATCTGTTCAGACGGTGACTTTCCAGTTCGCAAACTGTTGAAACCCGAGGGTAAATCGCGTTTGATATATAAGCTGGTCATAAGTCATACCTATAGGTATGACATATAATGATAATATAGGTATGACTTATGACCATCTCGCAATATGGGCATATATCATAAACCTCTATTGGAGAGGCTTTATAATTTCGTTTACCACATTTGATTACGATGCAAGCAACCCAATGACAGAGGCTTTGTAACACGCCGGATCTGACTAACAAACCCTTGTGTTGTTTTGGCTTGACACGTCCATGCACTTGCAAATTATGTACTTTCTGAGTTGAACGAGCCAAATGCATTGTGCGAACATACCAGATGATCCATGCATCCTTCAAGCGGGTGAAACAAATCTATCTGCATGTACCCTCTGGTTATTTAACATGGCTATGGTATAGATGGCCCAAGTATGGATGATTTATTTTGATTTGCCTATCAAATAAATGTGATATTTTCCAGTTCGCTATGCCAATGGGCTCAAAAACCATCTTGATTGCTACTTGGTGGCTAGTTAATCCCCTGTTTCAATACACAAAGAGTTTACTAGGATAACCCCAACAAACAAAAAGCACAACTGTATACAGTGTAATTATATACTACTAGGTACTCCTAACAAACAAAGTGTATACAGTGTATGCCACTATAGGCGCTAGTAGTACAACACGTCAACAAGAACACACTTTTCCTTGCTGGTCCTGAAATAGTAGGTAAATTTCAAGGTTGATTTCAAACTACATTTCAGCACATTTCAGCACACTGTTTCTGGGAAAAGCTTCAGGTATAGAAATCCAACCCATCCAACACAAAACATTCACCATGGAACCCAAGAATCGCAAAAGAAATCCAAGTCCAGACATAATTGTTCAAACCCAACAAATGTTGAGTTCCATGTTGAGTTTAGGCTATACATTTCCCCGCAATCATCCCCCAAAGATAGGTAGAATAACAAGCATCTCTACAAATTTGCTGATGATGTACTTGTTTTCCATGTTTGTTGCGGATGACCATATAATCATATATATATATGCATATATATATATACATCTATATATATATACATCTATATATATATATACATCTATATATATATACATCTATATATATATATACACATACATACATACATACATACATACATACATAATCATACATATATGTATATACCTATAATGTAACTAACATAGCTATGAAAAATGGCGCATTTATAGATGATGTCCCTATTACAAAGGGTGATTTTCCATAGCTATCTGACCCATTTGAGCCTGTTCTGGTGGAAACAAACCAAGGCACTTTCATAGGACGTCAACAGCGAACTCGTAGGACCACCGCCTGGGCATCCAAAATATCACGATGTGGGTTGACCATTGGCAAAAAATGCATTTTATTTTTTTTGGGGGGGGGAGGAACATATAGATTTGGAGGGACATAGGATCATGTTTTCCAGGGAAGGGTCATGCCATATCATGTTCTCCAGCATCACCAGATCAGCGAGACACGAGATGAAGCAGGAAGCTGCACGGTGGTGCCCCAGTTCGGAATCGTTAAGCTTTCAATTCCAGGGGATTTCCCGTTGCCATGTTTGACTGCCGGAGGGTAAGTAGGTTAAGATTTGGGGTAGATATATCATGGATCTCCAAAGTTCATGGAATTTAAAGACCAACAAACATAGCTGGAGGGTCCCCTGGAATAGTGGAGGAACATTGCGTTGGGCAACACCAAATATCACACCCCACACGCCCGTGAGAATATGCACAGCTCCCAGCTCTCCAACAAAAATCGTGCGCACACAGCCCTCAAGCAGCAAACAATCAGTCAGAACTAAAGGATCCATCGAAGATTTCCGCAGAATTCTGCTTAAGTGGGTATAGCTATAGCTCAGACTTGGGGACTTCAATCATTCTATGTGACCAAACACAAATCCGAACATCGGCCACGAATCTTCATGGCTCCATCCCCATCAGCCACCGGGTTTCCCCACATTGGATCGCCAGGGCCAGCTTCCAGGCCAAATTCTTGGCGTCTTGGAAGCCCATGTTCATGCCTCTCCATGGCTTGAAAAGCTGGCGATGTGACGACTTCACGGACTTCTATTTATGGTATATATAATATATAATATATATAATATAATATATATATATATATATAATGTGTAATGTATATATATATATAATGTGTAATGTATATAGGTATATATATATATATAATTGTATTTAATTGTATGTAATTGTATATAATAATATATATATATATATTTGAATAATTGTACATATATATAATATACATGTGTATAATTGTAAATATATCTTTAAATAAATATATCTATATATATATAGAATTATCTAAAATCAAAGTGCCTTGAAAAATGATGACAATTGGGCTTGTGGTCGATATATCTAACATTGAAGTGACTTTATATCGTGACGATATGGACTTTTGGCAGATACATCAACCTAGTTAATGGGGTTTATGAACCAACTTGTAACTAAGACTAAACTGGTGTTCAAAAACCTCCCATGTTCCAAATGCGGAGTTCTCAAACGTTGCTGGTGGTTTAATCTCTTCTGAAAACAACTGAATCATAGTGTTGGTGAATGTTGATATACCGCAATATTCCTCCCCCAAATCACCAAAAAATAGGTGCTATCTATAAATCATTCCCAAATGGGTGGTTTATGACATTGCTTTGCCCACATTATACCCGATTAATTCAAACGAAATAATTTCCCTATAATCACCAAAAATAGGTGCAATAAATAAAAATTTCCCTATCCCCTCCACTCTATGCCTTGTCCTCCCAGGGGCGAATGACAGTGACAGGCATCGCCGGCCAGAAAGACGCGACCCCGACCGTAGCACTCCACCTGCAGTCGACAGACCGAGCGTCAAGTCGCACAAGCCAGTTAATGGAATTTAATGGGATTTCATGGAATTTAATGGAATTTAACGGAGTTTCATGGAAGTTAATGGGAGTTAATGAGATTTCATGGAAGTTAATGGGATTTAACGGAGTTTCATGGAAGTTAATGGGAGTTAGTGAGATTTCATGGAAGTTTCATGGAAGTTAATGGGAATTAAGGGGATTTCATGGAAGTTAATGGGATTTAACGGGATTTCATGGAAGTTAATGGTAGTTAAGGGGATTTCATGGAAGTTAATGGGATTTAACGGGATTTCATGGAAGTTAATGGTAGTTAAGGGGATTTCATGGAAGTTAATGGTAGTTAAGGGGATTTTATGGAAGTTAATGGTAGTTAAGGGAATTTCATGGAAGTTAATGGGATTTAACGGGATTTCATGGAAGTTAATGGGAATTCAGGGGATTTCATGGAATTTAATGGTAGTTAAGGAGATTTTATGGAAGTGAATAGTAGTTAAGGAAATTTCATGGAAGTTAATGGGATTTAACGGGATTTCATGGAAGTTAATGGGAATTAAGGGGATTTCATGGAAGTTAATGGGATTTAACCGGATTTCATGGAAGTCAATGGGAGTTAATGGGATTTCATGGAAATTAATGGGAATTAAGGGGATTTCATGGAAGTTAATGGGATTTAAGGGGATTTCATGGAAGTTAATGGGATTTAACGGAGTTTCATGGAAGTTAATGGGAGTTAATGAGATTTCATGGAAGTTAATGGGGGTTAATGGGATTTCATGGAAGTTAATGGGAATTAAGGGGATTTCATGGAAGTTAATGGGATTTAATGGTGAAATCAAACGTGGCTAGCTGGGCAATCCCAAACTAAATGGAGGCCTTCAAGGGAAAATCATCTATAAATGGGGAAGACAAGAACATCTCGACCCTCAGTTGACACATAAAAATTGGTAAACGATGGTAAACCTACTAACACAACGGTTAAATAAAATTTCTATGGATCAATTAAGGGATTTCTAGGCACAAACATGACAAGTTTAGTCAGATGTTTACTGCGTGTGATTTGAGAATTAGCACCTCCTTTTGGCAGCTGGATGATTGCCAGAAAGATGGGTGGCATCCATGGATTGCAAATCATTGCAGATACAGCACATCCACACAACAAGTTTTGAAGGAAAACAAAAGAAATGGAAGGGCCAAATGATAAACACCAGAGAAAAACATCGGGATCATCGAATATCGGACAAAATCATGTATCCCAAAACTGTATGTATTTGATTGCCGAAACTGGGTGGTTCGCAATTTACAGTCCTTATACAGGGAAATCATCATTCATCCATGTCTAGGCAAAAAAATGAAACCCCAACTGAGACATTGACAGGATCATCATCCCATGTCCATGGTCAAATAACTCAAGAATGTAATGTGGGAAACCATCCGCGATCGGGGTATACTATTGGGTGTACGGTATACTTCTATAACATGACCCCCAAAATTGGTTGGTTAATGATCGTTACTGGAATGGTTTGCTTTACCAACTTTACCTAAGCTGAAATAAGGCCAGAAACGTTCCTTGATCACTTGATGATTCCCTATACCACTACTCATCATTCCAATGACATCGCAGGGAGGTCGTTATAATTTCTCCACGTGTATATACATATATATATATAATAGGTAAATGACATGTATGTATATATATATACACTGTATGTATATAAATATATATATATAGCAACCCATAAATCAGCCAAATGAGCCAAACGATTGGAAACCAACCACCCACGCCCGCGCAACCAGTCCCACGGCCCGTGCTGTGTGACCTGTCGCGAGTTCACTCGGAAGTGCGTCAACCAGCGCACCGAGCCCGGTTTCACCGACCTGTTGGGGCCGTAAAACATGATGGCAATGCGGGCCCCCTCTAACCATAGGAAAACCATAGGAAAACCATAGGAAAACCATAGGAAAATGGTGGTTTAATGGGATTTAATGGGATTTAATGGTATTTGACAGGATTTAAAGGCTCCCCAGTGATGTGTGTTGGTTTATAAACCCCATTAACTACAGTTCTATCCCCTATACATAACCCTACTTAGACAAGTTATATATAAGTCAACTTAGCTATCTAGGAGGCCAACCTTGTGGTTGTTTCAGCAAAATATCAAAATTTGTTGATAGCTCCATGACACAGGGATGCCTCGGCCTGTGGAGCGACACAATTCCAAAGAAATCATTCAGAAACGAAGGTGCTAAAACTCAGAGGCATGAGACATCACACACACAAACATAGAGACATCATCAACATAAGTATATATGTGGACATCCCTGGATTACTGGGGACCAAGGAATCTGAATCATCCAATGTCCATCACAACGAAACAAAACTGCTGCAAAACCACGAGAATTGGTGAACAAACCCAGGAAAAGTGGGCTGCTTTGATGGAGATGCCTGGAGAGAAACATATAGAAAAACCTTGTGATTCTGTCCAGTCCAACTGTCCATATCAGCATAAAAAAACATGTGTTGGTTGCATTTATATATGTATGTGTGTATATACTCTTACATGTCAAATTAAAGAAATATGCCCTTTGTGGAACTAATGCTTTGAAACCCCTTTCTGTAGAAGACTTGGAAATTCAAACCGAGTTGCTCAGAAGATTACCAAGTATTGAGATTTGGAAGTTGGAATCCCACGGTCTTGAAACATTGCCACCCCAAGAAATTCTGTGCAGAATACTGCCTTACATAACTCCATGCACAAGTGGGGCCATTCCGGTCAGAAAGTAAGTAAATATTCTATTTACCCTCTGGTTATTTAACATTGCCATGGTATAGATGGCCCATAGAAATAGATGCTTTACCTATTAAAAATAGTGATTTTCCATGGCACTGTTGAAAACCAGATGGTATCACCATCATATCCAATGTCTTCAGTCCCCTCAGGATAGATGGCGGATCTTGGATACCCAAGATTTTCGAGAAGTATGCACCATTTGTCCAAAAACAACAAATCTATGGATTCTTCATCCAAATTCGCCCACAACGACCAGCATCTGTGGCGCAAAACATCACACCACTACGGAGCAAGGATGGGCTCACAATCTTTTTGCATCCTGATATAAAAACCGTGCTATATCATTCTGCGTCCGGATACTGCCATCATTCTGCGATATTTGGAAAATTGGGTTCCCCAAAATCCTATGGTTGATCATCGCCGTGTGGGAGGTATGCTCCATGTTCGGACACGCCCAAGTATCACATCAAATATGTTGAGTATATCCCATTCATATATATGCCCATAATATCCCCATTCTGATGAACTTTTTACCCAAGTCCATTAAATATATACCCATTGTATCCCATTATATCCCCACTATATAGATATATACCTATTTTTGTTTTTGCTGCTGAATCCACCGTAAAATCCTCATTTGCCCCTCGTGTTCCAATAAGTTTCGATATTGTGTTGGTTAAGTTTCCAACTAAAACACATTGATATTACCGTTCATATGGATAGATAAATTCCGTTTTCATTATCCATCATGATATCCTGAAATTCCCATATAAAGCGACTGGTCTCATCTGGGAGATTCGTTTCATGAACACCGCGTGGGCGGGGCAGATGGCTGTGCCATTCTAGGCAGGGCGTGGCCAAGCCAATCTGGCACTGCCTCGAAAACACCCTCTAGCTGCCTGTTTTTTGAGCTGCGACGGATGGCGGGGCATTCTGGAAGCACTGTGCAAGACCGCGGGGCAGGTGCTGGATCTTCCTCGCTAACCCTCCACTGGTGGTTCCAACAGGCCTGAGGTCCTACTTCACCGCGCTGGAAGTGCCCGGTTTCGAATCGCGATTGTTCAGCTCCTGCCACAGCAGAGCATGGTTTCTTGGTTGATATCGCCCGCGTCGCTCTAGCTTACAGCCCGCGGCGAAACACAACTTAGGTCGCGCAATGGTTGAAGGCAGTAGCTGTTGCAGTCAACAGGCCGAATTCTTCTGAAATGTTGCTGCTGCTCGCATATAACAAAAAAACAAACAGTGGTTTTAACATGGGGAAAACTGTCCAAATCATCCTCAGCAAATCCAGCTATTATATCCCCATTCCCATGATATTCCCAGAAAAATGTGTTTTACATGAAATTCACATGAAGCTCCCAATAAAATGATTGACGTTCCCATAATTTTCCATGATATTCCCAACAAATGATTGATGTTCCTATATATATAATATATATATATTATATATATATACATATATGGACATGAAACATGTATGTATAGATATGTGTATACAGAAAAATAGTTATATATATGAGAATGTATTTATATGTATGTCTGCATAGAAACAATCTTGATTATATTTGCTCTCTCTCCATATTTTCTCTATCCATGTGTGTGTAATATTTATTTATTGAAAATATGATATACAATGATATACTTCCATTTGTATACATATGATGTTGAACATTAAAAACATTAAATACATAAAGAAAAACAAACTAAAGGAACACAAATAAACATGAAATATATAAAATAAAATAAAATATAATATAATAAAAAACAATCCAATATAATATCATGTAATAAAGCATGATACAATATTGTCTAATAGAATAAAAAATAATAGAATAATAAATATATATATATATAATCAACCCCGTTATCTTAGAATATCCGTTTTTCCAATTATGCAGTTGAACTCGAATGCAACTCCACTTAGAATATGCCCACATTTCGTGCTCATCTGTTTTCTCCCCATTTGGCCTTTGCTCTGAAAGCCTTTGTACACCTCTATGCAGCCTGTTTCTGTTTTTTTTTCAAGCAGTTTTCACATACTAATTTGATTTTTTATTACTTTGTGTTCTGAAAAGTAGATTTTTTTCTACCGCAAAGGGTCCCCCCCACGAATGGTGGAGATCCATGGGAAATGGTCTAGGTTGGGTAAGTGCAAGGAATAGGGCCCCCTTCATGTATGATTATTATATACGTAATTCCCTTTGGGGAGCAGCAATCCTGGATGTCTGAAGTTCCTAAACTAGAACGTTTCAACAAAAAAACAGCTTCCCCGAAATGATCAATTTCTTTTCATATTGTATTAAAAAAATGAGTTTTTCAAGCTCACCGAAGGGTACCCCCCACGACCGGTGTCGGAGAACTATGAAAAAAACTAGTTTGCAATGAAAACTAATGGAATTAGGTGGCATTCCTTTAAAAAAATGATGAATATTTTCACTGGGGACCTATATTCTATGTATGTAGTTTTGCAAGGAATAGGGCCCCCTTCATGAATAATTATTATATACGTAATTACCTTTGGGTAGAAGCAATCCTGGATATCTGAAGTTCCTAGACTGGAACGTTTCAACAAAAAAACAGGTCCCCCGAAATGATCAATGTCTTTTTATATTGTATTAAAAAATGATTTTTTCAAGCTCACCGAAGGGTACCCCCCACGAACGGTGTCGGAGAACTATGAAAAACAATAAAGAACTAGCTTGCAATGAAAACTAATGGAATTAGGTGGCATTCCTTCAAAAAATGATGAATATTTTTCACTGGGGACCTATATTCTATGTATGTAGTTTTGCAAGCAATAGGGTCCCCTTCATGTATAATTATTATATACGTAATTCCCTTTGGGTAGCAGCAATCCTGGATATCTGAAGTTCCCAAACTGGAACGTTTCAACAAAAAAACAGGTCCCCCGAAATGATCATTTTTTTTTATATATTGAATTAAAAAAAATGAGTTTTTCAAGCTCACCGAAGGGTACCCCCCACGAACGGTGTCGGAGAACTGTGGAAAAAATAGTTTGCAATGAAAACTACTGGAATTAGTTGGTGTTCCCACAAGAATGGTTAACTATTTTCATTGGGGACCAATATTCTATGTATGTAGTTCTGCAAGGAATGGGGTATCTTCCATGTAAAAGTATAAGGGTATATATCAATATATATCATATACGTAATTCCCTTTGGGGAGCAGCAATCCTGGATGTCTGAAGTTCCTAAACTAGAACGTTTCAACAAAAAAACAGCTCCCCCGAAATGATCAATTTCTTTTCTTATTGTATCAAAAAAATGAGTTTTTCAAGCTCACCGAAGGGTACCCCCCACGACCGGTGTTGGAGAACTATGAAAAAAACTAGTTTGCAATGAAAACTAATGGAATTAGGTGGCATTCCTTTAAAAAAATGATGAATATTTTCACTGGGGACCTATATTCTACGTATGTAGTTTTGCAAGGAATAGGGCCCCCTTCATGAATAATTATTATATACGTAATTCCCTTTGGGTAGAAGCAATCCTGGATGTCTGAAGTTCCTAAACTAGAAGGTTTCAACAAAAAAACAGCTTCCCCGAAATGATCAATTTCTTTTCATATTGTATTAAAAAAATGAGTTTTTCAAGCTCACCGAAGGGTACCCCCCACGAACGGTGTCGGAGAACTATGAAAAAAATAGAAAAAAACTAGTTTGCAATGAAAACTAATGGAATTAGGTGGCATTCCTTAAAAAAACGATGAATATTTTCACTGGGGACCTATATTCTATGTATGTAGTTTTGCAAGGAATAGGGTCCCCTTCATGAATAATTATTATATACGTAATTCCCTTTGGGTAGAAGCAATCCTGGATATCTGAAGTTCCTAAACTGGAACGGTTCAACAAAAAAACAGGTCCCCCGAAATGATCATTTTTTTTAAATATATTGAATTAAAAAATGAGTTTTTCAAGCTCACCGAAGGGTATCCCCCACGACCGGTGTCGGGATTTATGGAAATGTGAAGGATTTATGGAGAAAATGAAGAAACGCATATGGAAAAAGTGAAGAATTTGACTGAAAAGGGAAAATAATTTATATGGAAAAGAATCTGTATGGCAAAATATGGCAAACTGAAGAATTTGTATGGAAACGTGCAGAATTGTTATAGGAAAGTGAAGAATTTATATGGAAAAATCATGAATTTGTCTGGAAACATGAAAGAAGTTATATGGAAAAAATATGGAAAAGTGAAGAATTTGTATAGACATGTGAAGGATTTATTAAGAAATATATATATATATATATGGAAAAATGATGAATTTGACTGAACAAGTGAAAGAATTTGTATGGCAAAAATATGGAAAAGTGAAGAATTTGTATGGAAACGTGAAGGATTTATAAAGAAAAGTGAAGAACTTCTATCGAAAAATGACGAATTCGTCTTGAAAAGTGAAAGAATTTATATGGCCCAACGATATTCTAAGTATAGGTTTTTTAACGTCAACTGTATTCTAAGTAACTGTTTTCAAGTTCAATTATGGGGATGCCCTGGGAAGCCAAAATTTCAATTCTATATTCTAAGATAACGGGGTAGATTATATATATATATGTAAACAAACATATAATATATACAATTGAATACACACACAGATATATATATATATATATATTATAAAAATAAAAATGAAATAGATATATATTCTAATTTAGCACAACATAAAATAAAATAACATAATATAATATAATGTAATGTAATAAAATATAACCTATATATCTATATATAAATGCTTTTACAATTAACTGTGTGTATATATATATATATGTATATCAGACGTTCTTGCGTTACCAAATGCCAGCGTTTGATCTAATCAGCTGACAGTATCTGACAGTGGCGTTGCAGTGGCAAGAGTGCCGATATTGACTCGTCACATCTGGTCATTGGGATGTCAGATCTCCGAACAGGCATTCCGTTGGTCATCGAAACTACTCTGTGCGGCTGCACCGAGACGCCAACAAACGTGGGATCAGCTGTATGTTGGCCCTGGGTCGCTTTGGTCCTGAAGACTTGTGAAATTTGGCCATCGCTATTCTTCCTATAAAAATGTGTTTTACATGTAATCTCCCATGATATTCCCATAATTGCCATGGTTAAATTCCTAACTTCAGCATTCCCAGCGGAGCCGAGCCAAGTGGCAAGTTGCTTCCAAGACCCCTCGAGCGCGCCACCTTCAGAACGTCTTCCACCTGCCGCAGCGGACCCGCAACGGAAGAACCAGCTGGCCATGGCTGGGGGATCACCACCCCTCCGTGGTGAACAGAGACGGGGTGAGGATTGGGGGTCAACATGATGATACAATGATATACAATGATACAATGGGATATGACAAAAAATATTGTGGTGTACATTGATTCATGATTCACGGGTACAACTCATGAGATGTCAAAAAAACGAAAAACACATGGGACATATTACAAATACCAGATACAGTAGTGCCCGGCCCATGCCGAGGCAGACGTATCGAACAAACAATAAACCAGTTGTAAGTTGTAAGAAGTAGTTGTACGGCCCGTAGAAATGCAAAACCCTGAAGCGTTGAAGTTGTGAGGTGCCAACGAATGAGCACATTCATGGTGGTTGACATGCCCGTGAAATCACATGAAAAAAACATGTACAACTGACTGAATGACCTACTGAACACATGAATCACTGAATCAATGAATTGTCATTGAACAATGAACGAGTCAAGGAATCAATAAACCAATGAATCAATGAATCAGTGAATCAACAAACCAGCGAGTCAACGACGCACTGAAACAATCACTGAATCAATGAATCAGTGAATCAGTATATAATGTGTTTCATCCATGAAGCAACGAATCATCGAATCAATGAACCAATGAACCAACGATTCGATGAATCAAATAATCAATGAATGAACGAACGAATGAATGGATCGAATGATGGAAGGATGAGTGAGCTGCTTTCTTTGTTGAGCTACTTCTTCACTGAGCGACCTCTTCGCTGAGGCACCTCTTCTCTCAGCTACTTAGCTACTTCTTCTCTGAGCAGCCTCTTATCTGGGCCACTTCTGCTCTGAACTGCCGCCCATGGCTACTTCGTAGCTCAATCAACCTAGGTCCTCTCTTCGCGCAGCTGTTTCAATCCCGCCCTGCAATTCGCAATCCCGCTTGCCAGGAGCGTCGCAGCATCACAAATGCTTTTCCGCGTGCAGCCCTGCCAATGCACTTTGTCACAGCCGCTTTAAAACCCCCAAATCAACCAACCTTGGCGCAGTGTCAACATTATATACACTTTTCCGCCCTACGCTGCGCACCTCAGTTCTTTAGGATATTCTAGTGCATATTTTGCCGACCTCATCTTCCAAGAGTGCTCCGAAGACGACAGTATATATGTCAAACATTTTAAAATGCAAACTGAGCACTCGCTACAGTCTGGTGCACATTTTGCCGACCTGATCTTCCCAGAATGCTCCGAGCACGGCAAATCGAGCTCTCGCTATACCGTCCTGTGCGCTTTTTGTCCACAACTTTCCCAGATTGAGGCGCGAAACCACAGAAGCACAGACCCTACTTCAGTGACCGCAGGATGCACATTGCCCGAATAAACACAGGGTTTCGCGCCCGAAAGTGTTTTCACCCGTGAATCCACGCGTTCCGGAACTGGATGATGGGTGGTTGCCATGATGATGTGAATGCTCACCATGCACCATGACAACCCTCCGTAACTCGGAAGTTTTCCAACTAAACTTCCTTTGGTTCACCAATCAAATGATATTTGGGGATGTCAAAGTGAGGTGCAATGCTCTGTGTCAACTTCAATGGGGACTAGGACTAGGATGAGGAACCGCTAGATTTGGGAACCTACCCATTTACTACCTAATTCTTGGCAATAAAATGTCAAACGCAATAAATAAATAAATATATATATATATATTTATTTAATATACATATATATATATATCCCTACAGCTCCAAACGCCTTCTGAGACTGTATTTGGAGTTGTTTCTTGGGGTCTAAACACCTTCTCAGAGGGTATTGGGAGCACTAGGGTACATATATATATATATATATGATTATACAGTGAACAAGTCGTCACCAGTCTTCACTAATTTAAGGATCTTTTAGTGAAGGGATGATAGAATAGTTTTTACACCGATGATTTTCAGTGAGTCAGTTTTTTTTCACCCATCATCCTTTCACTTACCCTCCGGTAGTCAAACATGGCAAGTTGGCAAATCCACTATCAATCTCAGGTTTTAATATGTTTAATGGTAAAATATGGTAAAATCATCAATCAATCGGAGATTTTCCAGCGTTTTCCAGCTATGTTTCATGACACCCTCCGGGTCAAAACCGGTTTTGCGGCCTCTGGCTGCCGCAAGAGCGGTAGACCGTTGCGGTCCAGTTCCCCTGGCCGTCCGTTAGGCCACCATTGAGTACGGCTGTTGTCGGCTGTTGTACAGGGCCCTCCAGTTATGTCTGTTGGTTTATAACCCCATCCAAATATAGTTATAAGATGTTATAAGTATCATACACTATGGTTATTGTAGTTATTTGCACCAACTTAGCTAACTATGGGGCCCCATCCTGTAAATGAAATAGGGTTGTAATCCATATAAGACCGAAACACATTTTTTTGTTTTTTTGGCATATGCAGTGTATTTGTGAAAATGTATTATGTGTAGTGTAATGCATGCACAATGTGTGTTAATATGTGTGTACATTTGTGAATATGAATGTAGACACAACACAGCTTCGAAAGAAGTCAGTCTGGGGTGGTTGCCGCTACCGTCATTGATGGTGATGCTGTCCTGTGACCCACTCCTTCTGCTGCTGCAAATCCACATCCACAAGCCTTGGAAAAATGGCACGTTCGTGGCCAATTTTAGATGTCATGAAATTTTCTTGTAAGCCGGATAGTATATAAAACAAAAAGAAAAAGCTGTCCAAACTATATATCCAAGGTTTACCTCCTGTTTTACTTGGGCAGTTGAAAACAGAAAAGTCCGAGTGGTTTGTTTTCAGAACAATCCTGAACATGCGTTCTGGGGTCCACAAGTTTGACATTCTGTCCCGGATTCTCTTCTGACCCTTGCCACCTGAGCTAGAAAGCCCAGTTCAAGCCACTCAAATTCTCTGCGGCCTGCTCCCGTTTGTGCTTCAGCGTCTGGTCATCTGTATGCTGATTCTTCAGCGTCTGGTTTCACAACTCCAATCTGTTCAGCACGCGGTACTCTTCCTCCACCTCCGCTGTCTTCCATCCGATGTAGAAAGATCCGTGACTTTGCCGCACTATCTGCCCAGTCTCAGTCACCAGTTCCTCATCACAACAGCTATACCCAACTCCACACACAGATACGCACAAATCTTTCCCGGTTAATTGCACCATGTTCTCCCGATGTCTCCTAAGTTTGGGGGCACGAGAAAAATCCAACACCTGTCTCTTTAACAGGGAAACTGCTGGTTTGGGGTGCCTCATTTTAAGAAGCACCCATCAATATACATGTGTATATATATAATATACATAATATACATATATACACATACCATGTATATATATGTACATAATAATCAAATAATATAATATATATATATATACATAATCAATATATATACATAATATATATAATATATATATATATACACATAATATATATAATATATATATATATACATAATATATATATATACACATAATATATATATATACATTATATGTATATATATACATACGGTAAGTACATTTAAATATACGGATTTTAAAATATAGGAACATGTATTTTAGACTACCTCCGGGAAGGTTTTCCTTGGCCCGCCGGGCCATGTAAACATACGGAACCCAAGTCATTTAAACTTGTGGTAACTACATTTGAATATACAAACTGGTATTCTATACTACCTTCTGGGCCTCGCAGTCTGGCCCGCTTTCCCCATATTTAAATGTCGTTACCATATATATATGTACACATATGTATATATATATATATGTTGATACATTAGTCAGTGTATCATATAACATCATATAACTATATATAATCATATTTATATACATAAATATGTTCTATGATCCTGATAAACGACATTGTTTGTCGGATCGAGCAGCAGCAGGCAGTTGCCATCCCCGAAGGGGATGTTGAAGGCAAAGCCTGGCGCCAGTGGGTCCTAAGCGCAGGGTTTTTTTGGGCCGCATTTTGTAGGTTAGACTAGGTTAGACCACAACATGTCATGGTAAAAACATGTTAAAACCATGATTTGTGTTGCTTAAGCCATCATTTTTGTTGGTTAAACCTCTCAGCTATTGGTTCTTTCATTGGATCATTCCAACCGGCTGCGGCGTCTCCTGATCTTGCGTCAGGGACACGGACGCGACCTGGGAGCGTAAAAACATCGCGGCGACGGATGATATTGCATCCTGGGACTCAATGTTTTTTTCAAAATTTACGGAGATCATTCCAAGATGAGAACTTGTAGATGCTGTATGTACATACATATATATATATATAACTATAATACTATATTTACATATATATATAAAGAGTGCATTCAGAACATTGCAATTATACATACTTGTACAGTTGGGTATTCAGATGCAAACATATAAACACAATGATTTGTATCTAATTATATATTACATATCAATATAATTACATGTATAACAAAAGATCTCGATTCAATAAGCTGCTTCTATTTTTTTGGACCCTCTTCCTATGGGGTTGCTGTTCATTGGGCAATAAAAGGTTGGGGGAGTTGATTGCTCAGGCGAAGGCTGGCTCGAGGATTATCGCTACTGACTATGGTGTGTAGAATTGGTCATTTGACCAAAGAAACATGTGCGACACAAGCGCGCATGTTGTAATTAAGCTCCAGTAGCAATTATCTGCAGCACGCAATGAAAACACAATATTATATAAAACTTACCAATATGCTGAACAATTGCTGACTACCTTTCCCTATGGATCCAAACACTGTCTGAGAAGGCACTTAACCTTCCAAATTATAGTAAATTATACCCCAGTCCCACTTCCTTTCAGAAGGTACTTGGATCCATAGGGTTTCGGTTTAATATGTTCACTTAATTTAGAATTTTGTTGTATAAACAATTCCCAATTGAGCTGCCAGCGGGGGATGGACTGATGGACTCGAAAACCATGACTCGTCGAGGATGTTTCGCCAGGCGTCTGGTCATGACTATGAGATGACTCTGGCTATGTCTATGTCTTGAAACATAGAAATGCATAGAAATGTGTAGAATCATCCCTGAAAAAAGATACTTCAGATTGGGGATCGGGGTTGGTCCTGGTTGATTGATCCTTTGCCAAGCTGCATCTTTGTCGTTCATCGCAAAGTTCTCGAAACAAGCATCCAAACCTAATGCAAAGCGGGGAGGCAAGACAGGCCCAAACCACGCACGGAATCACTGAAGTGTGCAGTTTGAACTCCAACATATGTCCCAATATGCAGGGATTGACATTGCTTTCTGGACCTACATATAGTAATATAGTAAGTAACCCACCAAAGAGATAGAAAGTAAAATCCTACCGTGATGTATATACTACTTTTCTGTCTCTTTGAAGGTTACTGCAATGAAAACCTTGCGGGAGATTGGTCAGATTGGCTTCAGTCACCTCTCACCATAAACAGGATTATGAAACCATCCCATTCTGAGCCTCTTAGTAAACAAAGAGCCGGACTTAGGGATACTACTACACGTAAATAAATAAATATATATATATATAATGTATCCATACAACATAGCCTATGTATACATATATAAATATATATACATATATGTATGTATGTATGTGTGTATGTATGTATGTATGTATGTATGTAAGTATGTATGCATGTATGCATGTATGCATGTATGCATGTGTGCATGTATGCATGTATGCATGTATGCGTGTCTGCGTGTATGCGTGTATGCGTGTATGCGTGTATGCGTGTATGCATGTATGCATGTATGCATGTATGCATGTATGGATGTATGCATGTATGCATGTATGCATGTATGTGTGTATGCTTGTATGCATGCATGCATGCATGCATGTATGTATGCATGTATGCATGTATGCATGTATGCATGTATGTATGAATGTATGAATGTATGATGTATGTAATTGTATGTCTTTATTTATGTGTGTATATGTTTATGTATTTATGTATTTATGTATTTATGTATCTATTTATTTATGTATGTATGTATTTATCTATGGTATGGTATTTTATGGTATGGTATGGTATGGTATGGAATGTATGGATGCATCCATGCATGTATGTATAATGATAACGTACGCAATGGAACCCCAAAAGGACCCTCATTCACCATTTGACCACCCATCTTATGAGTCCAAAGCTCCAGAAACCTTCAACTCCGACAAGAGCCTTCCAGAAAGATATTTGTCTAACCCACCAGAAATGTACAAGGTGGTGCCCCAGTTCGGAATCGCTAAGTTGGCTCATAAGTCCAATAACTATATGGTTTTTGTTGGTGATATATCCATAGTTTTCATGGGATTATAACCCATTCATAACTGGGGGTGCACCACCTTGTAGATCATCTTCCGAATGGCTTTACCCAGTTGCGTTTATCGTTTTGTTCATCTGGTCCCGTGTGGATTCACCTCCGGCGTCCAGAGTTTCACACACGCATTACTGGCTGTCCGTTAAGATATTCTTTTTATTCTTTCGATGTTTGGTTGATGTATAGGGATCATAAACTCAAGATTGGATGACAAAGAATATAATCATCATCTATAATAAGGACTCCTGTATATCACATTGTTCCCCATCTTCATCCTCATCATCAACATCATCCATCGTAACTAACTGCCAGGATAACTACAATTTACTGGTAGTCATTGACATGATTAGATGAATGGTTGTGATGATTTGACGATTGGGTCATTGACATCGTAACTAATCAAGTCATTGACATTGCAAAGGCAATGAATGTCAATGACACAAATTAGATGATGATGACAGTGTCATTGACATTCATTGGCTTCAACGCCCGTTCCACGACGCCGCAAGTGTTCATCAGTTCCCTCCAGTGGGTTCACATCCTCGACTTTCAGGACTGCCCAGTTGTGAGTTGTGTGTGAACATCGTCATGACATGTCGTATTCTAAAATTATTTGAGCAAACATTATGAGGTTTGGTTGGCCAACTTACTTTTGAACCCTGTGCAGGATGACGCTGCACGTGGCAGCTTTGCTCTTCCCTGGTTGGCTCCTCAGACATGAACTCAAGGTTTCCAGTGCCACAATTGTGATTCTGAGATCAGATGTGTATAGTAGTTGGCATTGACAGCAACGATCTGAGATATTGCCATCATTGCAGCGCAATTGATGGGTCGGAACCTCACTGACCTGGAGGAGATGACATCAGTAGATTTCGCTGACAAGTGATTGACTGAACATTCAATTTTATTTATTTCCACCGTTTTTCCAACATTCCAGGAGGAACGAGCTCATTCGTTGATCCAAATGATGGTGGAGGGCGCAGGCACATGCAAACACTGCAAACAATCCAAACAATGCAAATCTTCCAGACAGAGTGAGGCACAAGCCTTGACATCACGCTTGAGTTTGGGCCTCAAATGCAAATTGTCATTGACTTTTGAATGCAGTGTCATTGACATTGAAATAATTAAAATTAAACTTCAGTCACTGACAGCAACTAGTTTTAATAGTAACTCTGTCACTGACATCATCATGATTCGTGTACTTTTATCAGGTTGAAAGAAGGACTTGCGAAGGCAGTTTGTCTTCTGATGGAGCTCCGGTCAATGACAACGTTGTATCAGCGTGCTTTGCCTTAGCACTGAGTGTTTACTGTCAGAAGCAGCAGCTGTCATAGTATGTGAACAAGGCGGTGGGACTCGTGACCTTGTGGCAAACAACTCCGAGCATTGTCCAGCGCTCGGCATTGCCGTCGTTGATTTGTTGACTTTAGACTGTTTCGAACTTGAGTGCAGCAAGTCTACTGGTCACATTCCTCCCATCTGTTAGTGCCATTTGGCATCTTAGGCTCAGTCTCCAAAGCTGGAATCTCAGCAATCTTGCACCTGAGTCTCTCATTTCTTGAACCAGCTTGCAGATGTCATGGCCATTGTCACACATTCAATTGTTTATCAACATTGACCTTCACTTGCATAGTGACCGCAGCTGCGTTCATATGTGTTCATAGTGACTTGCATTGCAACTCAAACAGTCGTAATCTGAATAAACAAATTGATGTCAGATTGTCACACGACCACTGACTGGGATTCAAAAATTGATGGTTTCAACCACAGACGCCTGTCAAGATCAGCTGACATGAATTTGACATAGTCTTAGTGCTGGCCATGACCAAGAGACGTTGGCAACAGGGTGACGATGGCAGTGATGAAGAGTGGGATGCAGGTGAAATCCAGCGGCTGCAGCGGCAGGACTCTTGTCCCTGATCGTGGATCAAATCTTTACTTGAATCAAATCCTTCACTGTCGTTTGCGACACAGTTAGTGCTTGTTACTGTGTCATCATCACAAATTGTCATTGACTCCTTTACCATGGCTGACTCAGGTGAGCCAAAAACTTGGTCCAGGCGGTGCCAGGTCGTCGTGGCCAGAAAGGGTGCTCATTGTTGGATGGGCTGCTAAGGAATGGTGGGACAATCCGATTGAAGCTGTGATGGACAGAACGGAACCGGCACAGTTCCACAACTTGGCCCAGTCCCTGAGAGTGAATGTTCCAGTGAAACAGCTACTTTGCTGAAGCTGCAGCTGTCTTCAGTTTGTTGATGTCCATGATGCCTTCACCTAAACCTGAATTTAACAAATTTGTTTGTTATTTTGACTCGACCCATGTCAGTCTAAAGCTTTGCGCCACCAAGACCACATATTCAGCATCACAGTGGCTTGCGGTCCTGCATCCAACAGACTGTCGCTGGACTCAGTTGTGGATTCATGTCATTCATCACTCACCCAGTTCTGATGATGAACCCTGTTGAAACATTTGCATTTGCTGCATTAATATGCATTAATCAAGGTCTTCCAGCACCACAGAGCTATGCCAGTCTTGTGCAAGATGCTGGAGATGATTGGCCTGATTGTGGCCATTAACTGCAAAGCCGGCTACCATAGAACGAGTGCATTTGTGGCATTGCTATCAGCAGTCCTGTCTGCAACTTGAATTTATTGGCCCAGTCATGTTGCTTCATGACAGCCATGTTATCTTGTTTAACCGAGTTGATTCAAACTGCGTGTCTTGTGTTCTTGTTACTTGGGAAGCCCCCTAAGGTCTTTGGTGTGGAATGCTGTTGCATCATTTTTAGCCTCAGCCAGAAACGTGCCTGGAGACAAGACCGAGAAGCAATCAACAGGTGGCTGGATGAAAGTGACGCAATCAA